TAGTGCACTGAGAAGGAAAAAAACTGAATGGCACGGGGATTGTTCTATTTCATTTGGCATTTCATGCGTAAGACAGGAACCAGAGGACATCATTATTGCTTCCATCTCCGTCCTTTCAAAAACATTTTGTGAAATAATTGTTGTTGCCCCTTTTCCAATCATAGAGGAGAGACTTTTGTTTTGGTTATGACATAGCCTATGTAGCCATTTCTGCTACTCTTGTATAATAACGTCATTAATACCTTGCCCCCAAATCAGTGATGAATATCACACTGATTAAACAAACTCAGGACAGATGCCATACCCATATCAGCCAAGTGCAAATTATAACAATATCCTTATACCTATTCTTCTCAGATCTGTTTACTATGTCAGATTACTCCTATGAGACCAAAGGCTCTATTTTAACAAACCTAATGCAATGGTAAATCATAGCGCTGGCGGTACCGTTATAGGTTCGGGGGTGTTTCAGAAATACTTTTGCTATTTTACAACCGCGAAAGAGCTGGGTTTTGATTAATAAACAAGTTGTGGGTGTGTCAAGGATTGGCTCTTCACTGGGCAATCAGAACGTCCTCCATGGCTAAATATGTGGTTGTCAATTGTATCAATGCCTACGTGCAAGGAAGATTCTCAAAAACATCAGCCATTGATACAGCATTATAGGAAGACTGAATAGTTTGGAGTGTGTCTTTGGTAATCGAATGAGTGGCGCTCTTTGAAAATGGGGATGGATAGCCTACTTCAGGTTTAAGCAGCTAGATTCAGCCGCGGGCCAATTTTTTATTTTCTGAGTGGATATCACGACTCAGGATATGACACAGATGCAGACACAGGAGGTGGATAGTACAGTTCTCAGAATATTTATTATACAAGGGGACAGGCCAAGGCAGGTCGAGGGCAGGCAGAGGTCAGTAATCCAGGGCAGAGTCAATAAGGTACAGAACGGCAGGCAGGCTCAGGGTCAGGGCAGGCAGAATGGTCAGAACCAGGAAGACAAGAAAACAGCAACTAGAAAGACTCGAAAACGGGAAAACACACTGCTAAGACTTGACGGGACAAGATGAACTGGCAACAGACAAATAGAAAACACTGGTATAAATACACAGGGGATAATGGGGACAAATGGGAGACACCTGGTGGGTGGTGGAGACAAGCACAAGACAGGTGAAACAGATCAGGGCGTGACAGTGGATGGTCGAGGGGCAAACATAATTATAATAATTTGTACACTGCCAATTGACCACAACTAATCTCAAAAAGAGATTGTATTTGAAAATAACAATCATTTCATACCTTGATTACATTGAGACACGATCACATATCTCTTTTTTTTATTCGTGGGAATACTTGGGGACAGATTTCCCAAAATTACACTCATTTTTAGCTGAATTCCTGGTGATTTTAGTCTTTTTTGACCAAAAAACTAAAAATAAATCACTTGCGGGCTGGTTTTGGCCCGCGGGCTGCCTATTGCCAACCCCTGGCCTACTTGAACAAGCGAAATTCAGATATGTGAATTGTGAGGGCAAAAACCTCCAAGCAGTAGACCATTTAAAACCCCTTTATTCATAGGGTACTTTTGGCTAATGGCCAGGATAAAAAGACTCACCTATGCGATACTGCTAAACCAGCATTGATTAAGGGGAGGGTAGGCTATGCTTGGTTTTTAATCAAATTAAACGAAATGGGGGGAAACCTATATATTTTTTATGTTTCTAAAAACGAGATTCACTGGCACAAAAGGCATATCTCTCCTTCAATGGGCACTGTGTGTCATGGCTGGATAGGCCAAGGACACACCTCAAATATTGCCACCCCTCCCATCTCAGCGCAGGGAAATTGCCAAACCTGGCGTTAGGGCTGGAAAATGCCAGTGGGCCAGTTTTTATATGATGAAATTGCAAATTAACGTGCGACACTTGCGCCTCCTTAGCACCAGCCGAAAATAGAGCCCCAAATTTGTCACGTGAGTTGAGTTGGAATATCTGTTGTTAGCTTTCCAAAAATAGCCTCCTTATATTAGTGTAATTAACTTACACTAGTGATAAGCTGGTATTAGTGGCTCTGAATAAAGTGTGTGGGAGAATACAGTGTGTGTGTGTGTGTGTGTGTGTGTGTGGGGGGGGGGGGGGGGGGTCATTCCATTATTGTCTAAGAAAGGGAAAGGAGAAAACTTAAATTGTAGATGATTTTAAGCTGTAGGTTGCAACCTTAACACATCTCGGGCCAGACAGTGCAGCACAGATTCAGTTGTCCGAGCTTTATTGACCCTTTATATTGTCAGGCTCTAAACATTTTTCTTTCTAGGAAATTGATTATTGAGCAGTCTGGTTACAGTAATATCCGGTTCACATTCAGTGGATCGGAGCAATACTGCACAATGTCAATGAAATTATTTTCAAAAACTGTGGACGGTCATTTTTTACATTGAAACTCAAGAGGAGAGATTAATTGAAAGTTGAAGACTAGACTGGGGTTGGGATGATGAGATAGAGCCAGTCAGTAAACAGAGATGTCCCTGGTGTTTTCCTCTTGCATGTGTCACCTGTCTATAGCTGTTAGCCCAGTTAGCATGAGACGAGACCTACAGTATGAGCTGAACCAATCAGAGGCAGAAGATAAATCTATTTGACCGTATCAGTGACAGGGACACACACGCACACACACACACACACAGGGCATGATGTCCACCAGTGGTGGTCAGTGCCGTTTAAGATGAGGGAGGACAATTTTTTTTTTCATGAGCATGGCCTTATTTCTATTACAGCATATTGGATGACTGTCATTCATATTCCATTCACCCAGTTCAATGTAACAGCGATAGGTTTAGGCTACTACATGATACTTGAATTTTCCCTATACCCACCATGAGGTTGCTACAACCTAGCCTATGAATGAAAGTTTACAACGTAGATGCACACAGGTTGACGGACAGTGACACATTCAATACCGCCTTGCACACTCGTCTGCATCTAGCAGATATAGGGCGTAATTATTAGTCCAACAGTTGCAAACAATAGTTTATTTTGGACAAATTCAGGTATGTTCATCCCTGTTTTGTTCTGTTTGCTTCTGTTTAAGAAACGTTTTTCAACAGAATCGCGTAAACACAGTTCACTTTCATGGCAGCCACATTGTATTCCTTCTCGCATCTATGCGCTCTCCTCCTTTCACCTTGTCCCTTCACTTGTGGACTTCAATGCACAACACATTAGCTGTATGTGACCAGGCGAAAAAACCTTTCCAAGCCAAACCATATCATAATTGTTACACATAGCCTACATCGTTGTCACCATATAAGCTAAAGTAACATCATAGTCAACATAATAGAACTAACGCGTTAGTAAACCCACTACAATCATGCAGTAACGTTACGGTGTACAGTCAGTAAGCAGTTACACCGGCGGGCCCTGGTGGCAATACATTTGTAAAAGCTTACCTTGACTTGGAAGAGTTCCAGTGTTGTGTTGGATAGTCATAGCCAGCTAGCAAACATATCATTCCTCTGTTTGAGCAGGGTGTTTGAGTAGGCTAAACTAGCAAGCTGCATTTGCTAGCTAAGTAAGTGAAACTGAAAGTGAAAACAAGTGATGAAATCTCTGTCTCTATCTCTCTCTTGCTTCTCCTTCATTTTGGAAGAAATTAATTTGTTCAAAAATGTTCAACTATTGTCTTTCTCTCTCTTTGAGTCAACTACTCACCACATTTTATGCACTGCAGCACTAGCTAGCTGTAGCATATGCTTTCAGTACTAGATTCATTCTCTGATCCTTTGATTGAGTGGACAACATGTCAGTTCATGCTGCAAGAACTCTGATAGGTTGGAGGACGTCCTCCGGAAGATGTCATAATTACTATGTAAGTCTATAGAAGGGGGTGAGAACCATGAGCCTCCTAGGTTTTGTATTGAAGTCAATGTAACCAGAGGAGGACGGAAGCTAGCTGTCCTCCGGCTACACCATGGTGCTACCCTACAGAGTGCTGTTGAGGCTACTGTAGACCTTCATTGCAAAATAGTGTGTTTTAATCAATTATTTGGTGACGTGATTATATTTAGTATAGTTTTGTTTGAAAAGGATAACACTTTAAATGTTGTAAAACATTTATTTTTATGAAATTCACTGAGGGGGATGGTCCTCCCCTTCCTCCTGTGAGGAGCCTCCACTGATGTCCACTCAGAGGAAATATTTCCCCTCCCAATGCTAGTTTGAATAAGCATGTTTTCCTTAATCCAAATCCCAACCACAGATCAGACATCACATTTTGCAGTGTGCAAAGATTATTTACAGGATACAGTCAGTTATCAAGCCGTCAACAGACTGGACTGCAGTTTGAAGTAGGGATTATGAAATACTTTAGGTTTGATGTTAACTTGGACGATTACCTTGGTCTTGTCTGATGCCAGATGCATTGGGAAGGTCCTTGTACAGTATTGAAGGCTGTGTGTTACTGTATGTCAGATGTTTGAATTGAATGTGTGTGTTTCTGTGTTTTCAGGTTGGGAGATGTGTGAAGGAGTGTGAGGGACGGCCATGGGATTGGAGAGACTGTGGCTTCTGGGTGTCACCACTGTTGTTGCCCTCTGTCTGCTTCGTAAGTATCATACTGTACATCTGGGAAGATTTGCTATGCTCATCCAATTTTTATTGGTTTCTCTTCTTACACCTGCCTTGCTCTCCTAGCTACCCAAGTAATTAACTTCATAGATTCATATTACAATGGTACAACAATGTAGTTAAGTTATACAGTGTAAAAACGTATCATATAAAATTTACCTCTAGAGAAAACCTCTCTTCCAATTCACTATCTGCCTCTCACCATTTTTGTGTCTCTGCATCCTTTTCTAGTCTTAACTACCAATGTATTTTCCTCTGTAGTTTATACCACTCTCTTTAGATTCATTGTTCACATGGATGCCTATGTAATAGCAAAGAGTCCTAGCCCTTGGCTCTCATTTACTGGCTAGTGGAATTTTCTGAATGTACTCCCTAGAACATATGATTCACAGCATCATCACAGCATCATACTCTGTCTCTGACATCTGCCACTATATACACGTGGCCTGGATTGGGGAAAGTGATGAGGAGGGGTCTGGGGTTCTAGACACAAGTGTGTACAAGGGAATGGGGTGAAATCCTACTCTAAAAAAATATATCTACGGCTGCGGATTTAGATCAATCTGGGATTTATACTGGCCCCATCCCAAAGGCACGCTTCTAGGGGGAGGGGAGTTTTGTGGAGCGCAGGCCATGTGTGGACCCCAGGGGGTGGCGGACTGGGAGGGAGTGGTGAGGGGCCTGCTGCCCTGTCGTCTATCAGAGAGTGTCCCCCTTTGAGATTAGTGCTTAATCACTAGGCCAGACGAGGTGCAGAGACAACACAACACTGCCAGGCACCCGGTTGCAGGCACAGGCGCACAGGCTCTCAGGCTCTGGCCCAGGTGTTGTTAATGGAATTGAAGCATGTTTACAGAGTGGCAGTCCTACGGTCTTGTCACCAAATGGAGTGTCATTGTTTTACATGGCCTCTGTATGTCTGCTTTAAATGAAGCATACTCTGAAGATTAACACAGTCATTGGAAATATGCAGGCTGACATCCAACTCATAAATATTTATTGACATTTAAATGTGTTTATGCTATCTACTCTAATCTCTTCTCCCTTACTGCTTGTTAGTTTCTCAATGTAAAGAGGTCCTTCCAGTTGTTCTCTATCCTTGCCTTTTGGGTCTAGCTTGTCTTTGTCCTCCCCTTCCCTCTCATGAAGGAGCCAAGCTGTTGCTGGCTGCTAAACAGTTTTATCATCGGTTCTCGGCCCTGCAATAAATAAAGTGAATATTTACTCTTCCTGGAATGTGTAACCAGATATTCCACTGAATGCATTTCGGAAAAAACTCAGCATGTATCTGGCTCTGCATGAGACTCAAACCTATGTGGAACAGATCCACATAGTTTGAGGATGTTCCGGAGCTCTTAAATATTGATTGATGTTGTGGGTGTTGACTGTTGACCGTTCAGGCATCAACATGTTTTACTGCAGATTCACCAGTTATGCTCAGCCTTCCGCCATGATATTACTGTTACCTGTGTGCTTTCTCCTCAGGTACGTCCCAGGGTGTGGAGGCGGTGGTCCGAGCCAGGGTTGGGGGGACTGCAGAGCTAGGTTGCAGTCTTACCCCCCCTTCTACAGGAGCCACCACCCCAAACTTGTTCCCACTGCACGTGGTGGAGTGGGTTCGTCTGGGTTACAATGTTCCCATCCTCATCAAATTCGGAGTGTACGCGCCACGCCTGCATCCCAACTACAAGGGTGAGTCCTCTTGTCTCAGATCTATGTCTTATCACTGCTTCTTTCAAATTACGCAATGCATAGGAAATACACTGTGGTAATTGCATGGCTAAACATTTGAACCTGTTGGTTCTCACTTTGAGTCCTGGTGCAATTGAATCTTTTGTCCTGTTGGTTTATTGGGAGCCATTTGCCTGCATACAACACCCCAGTGCCGTCTCTACATTCCTCAGTGTTTTTAACGGTGCATCGAATGGGAGAAGGACAAAGGAGAGTTTAACCTCAAGACAAGGACCTGAAAAAGACGGATTTCTCTGACTATAACTGAAGAGATTCTGTGCAATAAGGTCACATTATCTTAAAACAACTTTCAATTACCTTCCTTTGATCCTTTCTTTCCCCTCATGAGTAGCTGGCTGGGAATGTGCTTTAAGTACAGCTGTTTTGTTTTGAGTGGGGGTGGGGAAGGGGGCTACACTGGTATTTATGAATGCTGTGGGGTTTCAGTGGTGAGAATACCCCAAATAGGTAATCCACCCAAACAAGAGCCCTGTAATTACGCTGTGTGTGTGGTAGGGCAGCCATAGTGCCGGGGCAGGAGACTGGGACTGGGACAGGGCCTGGGCGAGGACGGAAATATGTTAATGGCTTCAGTCAGGGGGGTGGGATGACAGACGGGGCTGTGTGTGGGTGTGTGCACGTGCATGTGTGTGTGTTTGTGTGTGCATGCTTGTGTGTGTGTGTGAGAGTGGGGGGGGGGGGGGGGGGGGGTGGAGTAAAAGAGAGTAAGGTTAAATTGAGGCAGGCTTGGGTGGGGTGGGGGCTGGTGGTCCCAGTAAAGAAGTTTTTTATTGGTATTCAGAGGGGTGACCCAGTAAAGAAGTTGCTTTGCTGTAAGGAGAATGAATGAAGTGTATGGAATAATAGAGTTTTCTTGCCTAGAGTACCATAATCCAGTCATTGTCTCTCAGAGAACAAAAGACAAACGGCTATATCACATCCACCCCTTCCTCTGACGAGCCCACGCCAATACTTGTGCCTCCAAAATCCCATATTCTCTCATCTAGGTCACTGAATCTGTCAGGAAGCCTTTCAAGTCCACCTACAGTTGGTTTTCACTTAAAAACTATCAGTAGATGATTTCACCTATCACACTAAAGATCAAATGGACCCTGGTATTCACTGGACACCAACCAGGCTCTGACCATTCAGGAATGGCCTGAAGAGCACTGGCCAACAGATGTCTGGCTGTCTGTCTGATCCACCCATAGACCCCAGTGTTATTGTTTTAAGGCAATCATGTGATGCACCATAACCCAGAATTCATCACTGAGGCTATGGGGGTAAAAACAACAGAAAAGTAACAACAACAATCTAACGGTTTGTTAGAAATAAAAAAGGACTTGGTTTTGATGAGGGATATTCTCCCTCTCTGTGTGTCTGGGGTCTGCTTAACCCCTGTCTGCCTCATATCCTCTCAGCTCCCCTCCTTCTGGAGGCAGATGGCAACATGTGAAGCGTATCAGCACTGCGTATCTAATGTATTCTACCATCAAATTAAAATGTATGGGGGATTTCATATTGAACCCCAGCCCCACCTCACTAGACAGTATGAAACACAACCACTTCCTGATCTTTGTCTCTAGATGTCTATGTTCAGGGACAAACAAGCACAACTTCTTAGTCATAGGAAGAAATGCCTCACTTTTTTTCAACCTTATTTAGAGCCTATAAGACTGCTCTGTCACCTCTGTCTCTCATGTACAATCTTGCACTGACGCCATCCGCCAGTCTAGTAGTGTCTCATGAAAGAATGAGAGGAAGCGTTATCTTGGATGGGGGCATAATAAAGTAATATGTTTAATCTCTAATTGTTCAGATAGGATATCAGGTGTATTTCAGATTACAGTGAGTGCTTGAGGAGTGCGTGCTGTGTCTGTGTCTGTGCCACAGAGTAATGCCCTTCTGTTGACCCCATTAGAGGCCAATCGCTCTGAAACAGACAGATTACTTGTGCAGGCTGCTGTGCAAATATTTTATTTCTGGAGAGAATCAGAAACCATTTTGAAGGAGGCTGCCCAGTGCCACATCCTTCTTCCTCCATGTCTCTTTTCTAAACAAGCCCTGGAGGGCTGAACATCAATCACATGACAACACAGAGGAAGAGACAAATAAAAAGTGACTGAAATACTTAAGTGCAGTCAATTGACTGGTGAAGTCTGTTCGAGTTGTGCTTTTTGAGGAAATTTGTTAGTCCAGGCTGGCCTGTGAGTCTCCCTGCACTGGCCACGCTGTCAGGGGCACTTACTCTAAAAAGGGTAGATCAAATGTGTCCTCTCTGCTGAAGTAAATTAGTGGAGACGGTATGGAGGGCACACCCTCCTCGGGGTAGAACGACAGCAGCAAAACCCCAGACTCAGCCCAGCAGGCCCCCATCATTCTGTCTCAGTGTGAGCCCTGAACACTGGGGGAGTCATGGCCTTGTTTCGCCCTTATACAAATACACACATTAAAGAACCTCAATTAATCAGCCTTGTTCCTCCACCCATCTTTTAGTTGGAATTGACATTTTCCGTTGGTCAACAACGCCTTACTAAACATGACCGTATTTCACCAACTCAGCCAGGAGATCGCCAAACAGAGAGGTGGCAGCTGAGCCTGACCCACATGATCCAGCAGCAATCTGTATTTCTGCTAAAACTGGACCAGGGAGATGTTTGCCAAACAGTGACACAATATGAGAAGAATGCAGGCTAGACCCGTGGATCTCATGTTCTCCAGCTCTGAGGTTCTCCGTCAGGACAAAGGCTCTGTTACTTAATCTCACAGCGCTGTAGGTGTGTCCCATGGGCCCGGAATCAGAGCAGGGGAATGAGCTCAGGCTCAGTATTGTGCTGCCTGGGAGCTTTTGTGTGAAATCCTTCTCTAAGGCCCAAGCACTGCCTGGGAGGTTCTACCTTATCCCAGACCTGTCCCAGACCTGGCTTGAGTTTCACACAGGAGAAGAGAGGAGCTTTGGTTGAGCCAGGCGTCTGTTACCTACAGATATAGGATCTTAATTTGACCAGTTTCTCACAGCAGGAAAATAATCATACATCAACAGGAAATGTGCATTTTTGTTTGGATTATAATAAACATTTTTGTAGGGGTTGATACAGTTTTAGATAGGGCAAATCAAGTCTGAAATGTTAAAGTGGAAATTACAGACTTTAGAAGTCTTTTTAAACCTCAAATACACTACAAGTTTGCATTTCCTGCAACAACAGGGTGATCAAATTGAGATACAACACCTGTACTGTTGGAAGAATAGTTTACAACAAGGATAGGGTTGTAAGTTAGGTTTAACCACTGAAAGGCTTGATTCATTATGTAGTATGCAAGTAAAGAGATTTAAACTGATGCATCAAGTTAGTTTGTAAGTAAAGAGGTTTAAGCTGATGCATCATGTTAGTATGCAAGTCAAGCGGTTTAAACCGTTGGTTCCCTTTCTGTCGGTCACTCTGTATAACATACAGTACTATGGAGAGTGAACAACCAATCCTATTCACCTGAAGCAAACTGAAATCTCGCCCAATGGATGCCGAGGCTGCCCTCGGAAGCCCCGCCTTCCTGGCTATAATACCGGGGCTCGCATCCATTTCCTCAATTCTTCAGCTTGCCTGAAGAAAGAACGTGTCACGTAATTTACAAACTTTTCAAGCACACGAAGGCTACGAGATTCGGCTCCGACTTACGTGTCTGTTACATTTTAGTCATTTAGCAGACGCTCTTATCCAGAGCGACTTACATGAGCAATTAGGGTTAAGTGCCTTGCTTAAGGGCACATCGACAGATTTTTCACCTAGTCGGCTCGGGGATTAGAACCAGCGACCATTCGGTTACTGGCACAACGCTCTTACCCACTAAGCTACCTGTTAGTGGAGAGAGACTACTCGTCCCGTAGATGTTGCGAGTTTTGGGTCTTGGCATTGGTTTTTGTGTTTGCTAAAAGCTAACTACTTTCTGCTCTGCTTGTGTAGCTAATGCTTCCTGGCTTGAGTAAGATGGCCAGTGGTAAGAGTAAGTTCAAAAAGGCTAACCAGCTTGTGTTTGAACCTCCGACCATGCCCTAGGGCATGTGGTTTCACAATGAAAATTAAAGATACTCATGAGTGTTGTCCTGTTTGCCAGGGGTGGTAACACACTCAGGAGGCCTTTGTTCGGAATATTTTGTGTGACCATTGTCTCTGGCTGGGTTCAACTTCCATAGGGAGTTGGGCTGACTTTGTGAGGAAGATATGTGGTTGGAGTTGATAGGGGTGTCATCTCAGCCGAGTTAGGCTCATTCCGGCTTCTCTAGCAGTGTTCAGAGTCCGGATTCCGAGGACGATATACTATCCCTGATTGGCGGGTTTTCTGAGTGTGAATTGGATGACATCATTCCGGGGCAGCCTGAACCCCCCGGCTTTGGTTTCGGTGGGGGAGAGTGAACCATTGGTGGTGTTGCGCCTTTGATGGTGTTTTTCTCCCCCGCAACGGAGTTCCTCCAGGTTTGGGTGAAGATATTTACCTCCTGTCCCTGAAGCATTGCTTACCCCTGTTTAAAGATTTTGCTGATGAGTGACAAGTTACTTAGCTCCGGAGGCTGACAAGGGGGCTAATCCTAGCTCAGAGGTCCCCGAACCCGGTGTGGGCCGGGTTTCAGAACGCACAGTTCCTTCCCCATGTTCAGACACACGGTTGTCAAGTGGTCGATATGAAAACAAGCATGACAAAACAAACAAATGATCCCAGTCCTCAGGGTGGCATTCTGCCCCTTCAGGAGATAATGAATGGGAGACTGGCAGCATGCTCCATCCAGTGGTGGGCATACGCAGTTTCACCATGGGTGATGAGGATGGTGACAAGAGGGTACGGTCTGCAGTTCGCTGTGCGTCCTCCTCCTTTTCATTACGTCATTGGTCCCCGAGGACCTTGCGGCTGTCTTGAGAAAGGGACATTTCCTCTCTCCTTCAAAAGCAGTCTATTCACAGGCTATTCGGGTGGTCATCGTGTCAGAAGTACAGAGCTGTTGGTACAGCCGGTACTTCTTAGTTCCCAAGAGCGAAGACGCGTTACGTCCCATCCTGGACTTGCATGTTTTAAACAAGCACCACAAGGTTGCAAGTTGAAAATGCTCACATTCGCCGGCTATTGCAGTCGGTGTTTACCAGCGATTTGTTCACGTCCATAGATATAAAGGATTCTTCTATTCTATGTGCTATACATCCTCCCCATCTCCCTATCGCCCGCACCTTTTCTATGGTGGTGGAGGCGGCTTTGGCACCGGTGTAGTACCAGGGGATCAGAGTATTGGCCTATCTGGATGATTGGCTGGTCGTGGTGGAGTCGAGGGAACAGGTGATGCTGCCACACTGGCTTCCCATATTAATTCGCTGGGGTTCATAGTGAATCACAAGACAAGTTGTTTGACTCTGGCTCAGCGCATTCAGTTTCTCGTCTCATTCTGGACTCGGTTCTGAATCATGCGTTTCTGTCCCAATGGAGGAGGGTCGCATTTCGGCTCTGTCTGGCATGGGTTCAGCTAGTGCACTCAGTGCCTTTTTCGATTGTGCATGCAGTTATTGGGGCTGATGGCCTCTATGATAGCTGTGGTGCCTCTGGGACTTCTGTTGATGCGTTCAGTGCTGGGTGATTGCTACGCGTCTGGACTCATCTCCCCACTGCCATCGGTTGCTCAAGGTCTCCCTGTCATGGTTAAGGACGCTGACTCCTTGGAGAGACCCGCGACTGCTGTTGCAGGGGGTTCTCATGGGCTGGGAAGTGTCCCGCTGGGTGATCACAACAGACGCATCCTTATTGGTATGGGGAGCGCTGTGTGAGGGCTACTCGGAAAGAGGGATTTGGAGAGAGTACTCGTCCCCGTAGATGTTGCGAGTTTTGGGTCTTGGCATTGGTTTTTGTGTTTGCTAAAAGCTAACTACTTTCTGCTCTGCTTGTGTAGCTAATGCTTCCTTGCTTGAGTAAGATGGCCAGTGGTAAGAGTAAGTTCAAAAAGGCTAACCAGCTGAGTTTGAACCTCCGACCGTGCCCTGGGGCATGTGGTTTCACAAAGAAAATTAAAGATCTCCACGTGCTATCAGTACACCCTTCCTGTTTGGAGTTCACGCCTGGTGACTCCAAAGTGAGGTTACGTCCTAATGCAGTTGGTCCCAAGGTTAGGCCTGTGTCCGGTGCGTGCTTTACACCCGTATATTGATAGGAACAAGGATGTCTGTGTTGTGACCAGCTTTTTGTCTGTTTTGCTAATCCAGCTCGGGGTATGGTGCTTTCTAAGCAGCGTCTTTCTCGTTGGATTGTGGAAGCTATCTCCCTGGCGTGTGACAAAAAAGGACAATGGTTGCCTAGCGGTGTGTGTGCTCACTCTACTAGGGTTGAGGCGGCTTCTTGGGCATTGTTCAGGGGCATGACAATTGGTGATATCTTTGCTGCAGCCAGTTTGTGAAGTTTATCACTTGAATGTAACTGCACAGTGTGGCTCATTGGGTTCTTAAGGCGAGGTCCGGGAGTGGGTGTTAGGCAGCACGCAGGTTGCACATTTATCCAGGTTACCACAGATCCCCTGTAGGTTTGAGCTTTGGGCTGCCGTGGTTCGTCGATGAGGCGGCATGCGATTGCGCATTATCATGTCACAGCAGGTGCCCTGTTGTTTTGGACTTGCGGGTCCTTGTACGAGTTCAGACTTTTCAGGCTCACAAGGTAAGTATTGTTCTTGGAACCATGGGATCTATGGACTTGGACCACAATGGTCGATGTTACGCAGGGTTCTGTCCGGGTTACCACAGTTTCCCTGTGGGTTTGAGCCTTGGGCTGCCTTGAAGGGCGACAACGCTCAGAGTGCGCATTATCAGGGTTACCACCGTTTCCTGTGGGTTTGAGCCTTGGGCAGCCATGGCAGTGCGTGAGTACACAGTTTCCAGGTTACTGCAGGTTCTGACATTTCAGGCTCGTAAGGTATTGTTCTTGGAACCGTGGGGTCTATGGACTTGGGCTGCAGTGGCAACATGTCAGTGTGCATTGGCAAGTTGCAGCAGGTTCTGGTTCCCTATATGGGGCTCTGACAGTTCAGACTTCTCGGCTTCTGTAACCCCTTTTTGGAGCCGGTGGAACCTGTTTGTGCTTGGGCTGCCGTGGGCCTCCTAGATTGGTACCATCTGAGCCGGCTTGGGGCGTGATTGTATGTCCCTATAGTATTTTATACAGAGTGACCGACTGAAAGGGAATGTACAGTTATGAGTATAACTACTGTTCCCTGAAGGAGGGGAACGAGGTATAACATATTTTGAAGAGCGGTATTGAATTAAGGAAATGGATGCGAGCCCCGGTATTATAGCCAGGAATGCGGGGCTTCCGAGGTCGGGCTCTGCATCCATTGGCCCATTAGTCGTTCAGTTTTTGGCATTCTTTTTTAAAAATCCTATGTTTGTTGTGTAGTAAATATTTCAGCTTTTAATTTCATTGTTTTTTATTTGTTTGTTTTTTCCTGTGAAGCACATTGCGTTGCATTCCATGTCTGACATGTGCTGTATAAATAAAACTTGATTTGATTTGCACGAATGAGCAGAAAAAATTCTGCATTTACCAGTACATCATGAATGGAATACAAAAGGGCTTATGAAAAAACTCACACATGCATGAACACATGCACATGGTCATTTCTAAGTCATATGTTAGAATGTTTCAAATACAGTGTCATTAAAAACAGGTATTGGTACATTGGCCCACTTCCATGCTTTGTCACAGATTTGAATGCAGTAGACCATGGTTGACTTGTTGCTTCTAAATTGCTTGTTCTCTGATTCAGGCATGGAGGGCCATGCTATAGTTGGCCAAGTTGGCTGAGGCTGAGGTTTGGATGTGTCACTCACTGCTGCAGTGGCTTGACCATGTGATCAGAACGTGCTTGCTGGTGCAAGGGTTAAAACAGCCGGACAGCGAGAGAGGGACTGAGTTAACTGTAATCTATCGCTTGACAAAGAGCTATTCATAAGAGGGTTAAACTGATTAGGGGAGAGGAGGATTGAAGAGAGAAATTTTGGGGGGAAGGGAGGGGTGGGCTGTCAGGGGCTGGGGGCCGGTCCCAGACTTATGATTGTATTCAAATCAAAACACATCCCACAATGCACCTCTGCCCGTCTCCCTTAAACACATACGGAACGGACAAAGAAAAACAAAACTGAGGCCTCTGTAAACAGAATGATCTGTCTTCCTCCATAGGTGCCACTGTTAATTGTAGCATATTACATTCTGTATATCCCCGTGCATTACAACATGTAATTACGCGCCAGTGGGAACCACCGCTGCAACAATCACATGTCCATTCCATTTCCTCCGAACAATAGAACATTATCCCAGAGATTTAACTCTTGAGAGGCTGCATGGACCACAATGAACAACATCTGCCACACACAATCACTGCATCGGAAGTGTTGACTTCCATATGTGTGACACCCAGCTTGAATGGAATTATGTGGGTAAAATTAATACAATTTTAACACCAGTTTCAATAAAGTAAGCATGGGAGCACAGAATGATTTTAAACACAATGCAGTACACCACAGAGAGCCTCATTGTATATTAAAACTCCAGGCCATGGTTACATAAAAACTGTTGTCAGAGTACAGGCTAGCCAGTTCTCTGGCAGTGAGCGGTGCAGCTGAGAAAGAGCTGAGTGATTTTTAACCTGCCACCCACTGGGGGAGAACCTGACTCTGGCTAATGTGAAGAGGGTGGTGTGTCTTAGAGGGGCACGCTGAACTGAACGGGTGGATTAGAGTTTCCATTTTGCACCCTTCACTGCACACCAGCCAGACCTGTCAGAATAGCAGCTCGTTGTAAGGTAGACTGAAGTCGTCATGTGATATCTGGGGGTGGAAAAACAGTGAGGAGAATAGACAGGAAAAAGGAGCAGCTATTGTTTCTCTGTCTCTGTGCTCCATAGAGACTAGTGTATAGGACGATCTTTGGACATTGTGCTAATGCAGACCAAGTGGGAGTGATGAATGTGTTTGCTGGAGTGTTGCAGGCTCACTGTGGTCAGTGAGGTCTCACTCATTGGTAGTACTCGGTGGATTATCGATCCAAATACATTCCATAACCTCTCCATAATCTGTCATTGTATTCCGTGTAGAATGCAGCGATGAGCCGTTTACACATTTTTGTCAATACTTGGATTGGAAAATGTCCACAGCTTTAATATGGAACATTATTTTGAATAATGTGGTAGTGACCCGTCTGTCCATTTTAACAAAAGCAATCATTCACAGGGCACATATTTATTTGTATTTTTTCCTATTTGGGTTTTTATGAATGGAAGCAATTTTGCTTTTTGGACACCATCCATGTCTAGAAAAGTAATTAAAATAAAACTGCACTTATCACTATGTCAAGTGCTATTGTCTGACCACAGATTCAAATGAAAACATGCTTTTATCTCTCTGGCTCTCTTTTATCTCTCACACTGTCTCCATTTCCCACTGCTGGATCGGTCACAAGCCATTTACCCATTATTTAAATCCAAACATGTTTTCTTCCGTGTGTAATTTTTTGAATCACAGGCACAAACCCACCCCCTGTGATTGGCCCTCCCTTCCAAGTGTTTTTACCCTCGTCGCTCCCCGTTTCTACAGCAACTGAATTCAAATCCAAACTCCCAGCCCGGGGTATTCTTGGTTTCATCACTATGGTAATCTGAGAGAATTACGAGGGGTGGTGTGGGGGGGTTGCCGTCCCTTTGTAGTGATGGACAGGCAGGAGGGGAGCAAGAAAGGGTTAAGTGTTCGATGGTCAAACTAGAAATTCCCCAGTGGTGAGCCAGTTGGCACTGCACACTCAAGGTTTTGAAAATCAACACTTATGCGTGTGCACGCTCACGCTTGCATGTACAGTATTTAGATGTATTTGGCCATTGGGAATTCCTTGGTTTATGTTTGATTCTTAATCATCCTTAGAGGTGCTGGCAATCTTAATGAGCTTAAAATGTCCCTCAGTATTTAGCCACAAAGGCATTAGGTGTGAGAGTGTGTGTGAAGTGTTGCACGTGAAAGTGTTTTTTCTCCAGTGCAATGGGTGTAGAGTTCATTCCATTGCTGTTTGGGAAAAAGTCTGTATAGGAAATAGGCAGCTCAGGGAGGATCCCTCCCTTTGAGATAACAGCCAATGCATGAAGTCTTTGATATACCTGTTATCATTTCAGCACACATTTCCTCTCTCTGAGTGTCCTATCAGCTCTCCTAATAACACTGACCTGGGATCAGAGGTAACTTTTTATGTAAGCACAAACTGAGCGCCGCCCAGTAAGGATTGTGTCTGTGTTTAAGCATGTCAGACAATCATTACCTCTGCAAGCATACCTTACTATTAACCAAAGCAACAGCCCCTCTCAGGAATGTGGGGTTAATTGTTACTCATTGTAATCCCTTTTTAAACACAGTGTGGTGCTTCACCCTGAAGCCTCAAGGCTGTAGGTGCATTTTGCTTAATTAATCACAAGGTTACCTCTGGCCACTGCTGTCTGAAGGGAAAACATCCTGGACAGCTGAATAGTCACTATTGTGTTTTCCTCTGATGTTTTTTTGCCATAATTTCAAGGTTGAAGTAAATTCAATAAATCTTCTCTGTCATTCAACACCCTGGAGAGATGACCTCAGGAGCTGAAGTACAAGATTTTGTGGTGAAAAGTTTTAATGATAAGGGTGCTACTCTGTCTCTATTCTCATGGTTATTCAATGAACAGACTAGGTTTCAAATATGGGCTTTTTACACATTGTGGTGTCTCATTGGATTTAGTGTACAAGGTGCCTATAGTCTTTAATCCAGTTTCTGCAGGCTGTAGAATTGCACTGGTTATCTACTACAATTGCTTACTACAGAGGCTTATAAAGCCTAAGCATTTATCAGACCTCATCATATTCCTTGTCAGAGGGTTAATTGGTCTAACTTTTTCCACCTTGAAAAATATGTATATTTCCTATGTTTAAAATCCATGGGCTTTCTCCTCTGCTCATTTAAAGCTCCAAACATTATTACCTTAGAATTACATTTATGAGTAACTCATTGGTTACGTTTGTTTTGTTCTGAGGGGATGCATGAGGTTTCTCTATGGCTGCTCTGTTTATTTTCAAACTGCTTGGCTGTTGCCTGCTAAGAGCATGTGTTTTCCCCTGATTCACTATACACATCCTCCTATCATTTAAATCCCTGCATTTGGGGAAAAATAGTTCATTGAGAGACTGAATAAAAGGAGGGGGTGGGGAAAGACGGGTAGCTTAGTACCCTGAAAACCAGGCTTCAGTCACCAGGCAACCAAAAGATCACGTTTCAAAGCCCGACAAGGAGTTGTAAGAAGTAGAAAGAAAAAGAGAGGGGCGGGGTGTGGAAGGGGGGTAGGAGGGGATCGGAGAGAGAGGACTTCATAAAGTGTGTCTGTCTTCCACTTTCCACAGTGTCTCTCTCTGCCATATGCTCCTCCATGACAAACAAAAACAGGTGGTACATTTCATAACAAATCTTCAGATTCCGGTGGAATCCGGTGACATTTTAACATTGATAAGAGCTTCTCTCTTGTGTTGATGTGTTGATCATGGTACCAAACTGCCTTTACCCTTTTTAATCTATTCTCTTCATGACTCTTCGTATTGTAAACAATGGGAAGTCTAAATAATATAGTAAATCTTCCTCAACTAAAATCTTGCTCTGCTTGTCACAATTGAATCATGTGTTTGTACTTCCCTAACACAAGGTCTCTGGCTTCTCTTTAAATTACATTCTCTGCTTGCCATTTTTCTCATTCCATATATTCCATTCAGTAGACCGAAAAGCCCTGATTCCTAAACCCTTTGGGGAATTGATGTAATGTATAATTTATTATTTGATACTAACAGCTAACTTTATGGGACAGTAGAGTTGATGTCATCTTGAACCTAGCTGAAAACCCATGAGGTTTGACTTTGACTGTGGCCTTTTGTGACACTGGATGCCTGTGTCCTCTGCTTGGTAAGCCCCCTGTCTGCATGTGCTGACTATGCTAGTCTGGTTGTATGTTCTGACCCTGGGGGCTCTCTGTCTCTCTCTGTGCCCAGGCCGTGTGTCTCTGACCCGGGGGGCCTCGCTGCTGGTGGCAGGGCTGAGCCTGGAGGACGAGGGCTGGTTCGAGTGTCGCATCCTGCTCCTGGACCGCACCACAGACGAGTTCCGCAATGGCACCTGGACCTTCCTCTCCATCACAGGTGCAGCTCAGTGGGTCTCTGTGGCAGTCAGAGGAACTGGACCTTACAGGACAAGACATCCTCTAGCTGCTCACGACCACCAGTGTTTTCCCTTTAGAATATCCTCAACATGGGGCTGGAGCATGACAGTCCCTCTCCTGTTGATCTTCAAATGGAGTCTTATTGCAGTATATGAGCTGTTGTTGCATAATGCTCAGTGTTTTAAACAGTGCTTGCGACACGTCTCATCTTTGTCTGGGCTCGCTATTCACTGTGGGATGACGTTGACACAGGACTGTCTGTTAGGAGCCACAGGGGACGTAGACACAGTGCATGTGACCTCACCAGGATAGTGGAGGCTAAAGGGAAAACAATGTTTCGTGTTCAAGTGTTTCTCTTGTCCTGCGTCATTCTCTCCTCCTACTGTCACTCTCTCCTTCTCTCCTTTTCCTATTCTGTTTTCCCATTCACACACTTATCTAAACACATGCCACTCCAATTTACTATCTACTTCCAATCCTCTCTTTCTTTCCATTTGTCCATCAAACAGGATATCACCAGGGCAAGTATTGTGTTAAATCCATGTAATGCACCTGGTTACTCAACATGTTTGGGTGATCAGAGGCCATGTAGCTTACAGATGTAGCAGTAACATAATTAATAGTTTCCCATTAGTTAACTAATTGTTACACAGTAGTTAATTAACTAGCTAGATAATTGTGTTACATTTGTTTAAAGATCATCTAATTTCCCCCCTACAGCCCCACCTGTATTTATCAAGACTCCACCTACCTTTGTGGAAGTCCTGCTAGGGGACTCCCTGACCCTCAGCTGTGGTGCCCATGGTAACCCTCGACCAACTGTTATCTGGCATAAAGATGAGACCCCAATTGAGAAACATGAAAAGATGGTGGTATGTAAAAAAGCTTCTGTTTGCTGTTGTTGGATGAAGTTGTTGGTCATGATTCAAAGCATCTGCAATCTCTTTCTCTCTCCCTCGCTCTCACAGGTGCTCAATGGCACCTTATCTTTGGCCCCCGTCACCAGAGAGACATCAGGAATGTATAAATGTCATGTGTCCAACTCGGAGGGGAATCTGACCCATACTACCCAGCTGCAGGTCAAAGGTCAGTCTGACTATCTTCTAACCATCTGGGAGAGGCAGGCAGGTCCTCTGCTGACTCCTCATAAGCCCAATCAGCTCAGTTCACTCATCTTAAGGGTCTCCAATGTATTAACCCCTAAAGGTTCATACATTAGACCTTAAAACCTCAGGCCTGGCCGAGAAGACAAACCATTTAGTTTACTAACCATTTAGCTTACGGAGTGGCTGCGGATACATATTTTCTGGACCCCACTTCCCAACAGCTAAAGGTCCCGAAGCTTCTGCGCATGTACAGGATTCTCTACTTTACTCATAGTCTCTGCTCTACTCATAGAGAACAGGTTACTCTGACAAATGTATGCACTCACTAACTGTAAGTTGCTCTGGATAAGAGCGTCTGCTAAATGACGCAAATGTAAAAATGTAAATGGTGGTCGTTTAATAAAGTTAGATCAAAGCTGAATCAATGTCTGCAAGATCACATAATGATAGTATTCTACATTACTGAACCGAATATAATATCGTAGTACACTGAATGTACAAAACATTCCTAACATTAGGAACACCAGGATTCAGTACCCCTGTCTTTCTCACCACTGTGTGTCTCTCATTGGAGAGGAGCCTGGAGAAAGGGAGAAAGAGCCTACTCTGACCACACAAAGCGGACTGTCTCCACCTAGTGTGCTTGCCTGTAGCCTACACTTCCATTTTTTCTACATAATTTCTGCAACTCCAAGATTTAAATTGTTTACATTTTAGTCATTTTAGCAGACGCTCTTATCCAGAGCGACTTACAGTTAGTGAGTGCATACATTTTCATACTGACCCCCCGTGGGAAACAAACCCACAACCCTGGCATTGCAAGCGCCATGCTCTACCAACTGAGCTACACGTATTAGCAAGTACATACACTGAGTGTACAAAACATTAGGAATACCTTCCTAATATTGAGTTGCACTCCCTTTTGCCCTCAGAACAGCCTCAATTCGTAGGGGCATGAACTCTACAAAGTATCGAAAGCGTTCCACAGGGGTTGTCCTTTGAATGCTGGACCAATCTTGATACACACGGGAAACTGTTGAGCGTTGCAGTTCCTGACACACACAAACCATCTACTACCATATCCCGTTCAAGGCACTTGCTCATTCACCGTCTGAATGGCACACATACACAATCCATGTCTCAATTGTTGTCTCTTCTCCTTCTTCTACACTGATTGAAGTGGATTTAACAAGTAACATCGATAAGGGATCATAGCATTCACCTGGTCAGTCTATGTCATTGAAAGAGCAGGTGTTCCTAATGTTTTGTACACTCAGTGTATAACGTTACTGTAAGACAAAAAACACCACCTCATTTCTGATGAGATTTTAGGATGATTGTGCGAATGGTCACATGTTTTGGTCATGTGGCCAAAACTCAACAACGCTCGCCACTAGGCAAAATATGTGCTTTGATTGAAACTAAACACATGTAGGCTATGCTACATTTTGTTAACACCATCTGGTCAAAAGTTCACTAACTGTACATCATTCAAAACAACACTGTAGGCTACTTCGAAACAACACTGTATAAATCCTCCAATGTCGCCCTTCCGCATATGCGGTGGAAGGTGGCAGAGCAATAGCGGTGTTTGTCAGACCAGGAGACATCCCGAAAATTGGTCTTCTCACTAAAACATCTGTAGCATCCGAACGGTTTTGCCTACACACTAATATGACCATTCTATAATTTGCTCTACGACCCCCACAAGTGTCACGGAACTCGTCTAAAAGTCACCCATACAAATGAATGGACGTATGTATGGAGGGGTTCGATCCCAGGCTGTGTCACAACCGGCCGTGACCGGGAGTCCCATAGGGTGGCACACAATTGGCCCAGCGTCGTCCAGGTTAGAGAAGGGTTTGGCCGGGGGGGGCTTTACTTGGCTCATCACGCTCTAGCGACTCCTTGTGGCGGGCCAGGCGCCTGCAGGCTTACTTCAGTCGTCAGTTGAACGGTGTTTCCTCTGACACATTGGTGCATCTGGCTTCCGGGTTAAGCAGGCGGGTGTTAAGAAGCGCGGTTTGCCGGGTCATGTTTCGGAGGATTCATGACACGACCTCGCCTCTCCCGAGCCCATTGGGTAGTTGCAGCAATGAGACAAAATCGAAATTGGGGAGAAAAAGTGGGTAAAAAAAGAAAGAAATATCTATATAAAAAAAAATAATATATATATATATATCCTGAGCTTATACAGTGCATTCGGAAAATATTCAGACCCCTTGACTTTTTCCACATTTTGTTACGTTACAGCCTTATTCTAAAATGGATTACATTATTTTTTTTACTAATCAATCTACACACAATACATGTGGAAAATGTACTTTCCCAATGCACTGTATATACACTGTAAAAAAAAAAATATATATATATATATATATACTAACAGTCAAAGGTTTGGACACACCTACTCATTCAAGAGTTTTTCTTAATTTTTTACTATTTATTACATTGTAGAATAATAGTGAAGACATCAAAACTATTAAATAACACATATGAAGTCATGTAGTAACCAAAAAAGTGTTACACAAATCAAAATATATTTTATATTTGAGATTCTTCAAATAGCCACCCTTTGCCTTGATGACAGCTTTGCACACTCTTGGCATTCTCTCAACTAGCTTTATGAGGTAGTCACCTGGAATGCATTTCAATTAACAGGTGTGCCTTCTTAAAAGTTAATTTGTGGAATTTCTTTCCTTCTTAATGCGTTTGAGCCAATCAGTTGTGTTATGACAAGGTAGGGGGGGTATACAGATGATAGCCCTATTTGGTAAAAGGCCAAGTCCATATTATGGCAAGAACAGCTCAAATAAGCAAAGAGAAACGACAGTCCGTCATTACTTTAAGACATGAAGGTCAGTTAATACGGAACATTTCAAGAACTTTGAAAGTTTCTTCAAGTGCAGTCGCAAAAACCATCAAGCGCTATGATGAAACTGGCTCACAGGAATGGAAGACCCAGTTACCTCTGCTGCAAAGGATAAGTTCATTAGAGTTACCAGCATCAGAAATTGCAGCCCAAATAAATGCTTCACAGAGTTCAAGTCACAGCCACGTCTCAACATCAATTGTTCAGAGGGGACTGTGTGAATCAGGCCTTCATGGTCGAATTGCTGCAAAGAAACCACGACTAAAGGACACCAATAAGAAGAAGAGACCTGCTTGGTCCAAGAAACACAAGCAATGGACATTAGACCGGTGGAAATGTGTCCTTTGGTCTGGAGTTCAAATTGGAGATTTTTGGTTCCAACCGCCGTGTCTTTCTGAGATACGGTGTGGGTGAACGGATGATCTCTGCATGTGTAGTTCCCACCGTAAAGCATGGAGGAGGAGGTGTTATGGTGTTGGGGTGATTTGATGGTGACACTGTCTGTGATTTATTTAGAATTCAAGGCACACTTAACCAGCATGGCTACCACAGCATTCTGCAGCGATACACCATCCCATCTTGTTTGGGCTTAGTGGCTCTATCATTTGTTTTTCAACAGGGCAATGACCCAACACACCTCCAGGCTGTGTAAGGGCTATTTGACCAAGAAGGAGAGTGATCGAGTGCTGCATCAGATGACCTGGCCTTCACAATCCCCCGACCTCAACCCAATTGAGATGGTTTGGGATGAGTTGGACGGCAGGGTGAAGGAAAAGCAGCCAACAAGTGCTCAGCATATGTGGGAACTCCTTCAAGACTGTTGGAAAAGCATTCCAGGTGAAGCTGGTTGAGAGAATGCCAAGAGTGTGCAAAGCTGTCATGAAGGCAAAGGGTGGCTACTTTGAAGAATCTAAAATATAAAATATGTTTTGATTTGTTTAACACTTTTTTGGTTACTACATGATTCCATATGTGTTATTTTGTAGTTTTGATGTCTTCACTATTATTCTACAATGTAGAAAATAGTAAAAATAAAGAAAAACCCTTGAATGAGTAGATGTGTCCAAACTTTTGACTGGTACTGTTGTCACGACTTCCGCCGAGGCTGCCTCTCCTCCTTGTTTGGGCAGGCTTCGGCGTTCGTCGTCACCGGCTTACTAGCCACTGCCGCTCCATATATCATCATTCCATTTGTCTTGTCTTGTTAATTAAACACACCTGGTTCTTATCCCCTCATTAGTCCATGTATAAGTGTTCCCTCTGCCCCCCTTGTCCTTGTGGGTGATTGTTGTTTCGTGAGAGTAATGTAGCTCGTTGGAGCTACTCGTACATTGTTATTTCCAGGGTAGATATTTCCCCTGTGCCTGTTATTGTTGGAGCTACCGTTACCTTGTATTGCTAGGGTAGATTTTCCCCTGTGCCTGTTTCGTTTGTCGCTATCCAGCGCTATTTGTGTACGACGGAATAAACTCTGCATTCTGTGATTACCCTTCTGCGCCTGACTCCTTCTATCACACTCATCACAACTGTGTATATATATTCCTTATGACTGATGTTTTTACTGTCTTTTTTGCTATTTATGAATGTGTTATTCAGTGTGTGTCTATGGGCTATAGAGGTAAAGGCCAAATGCAATATTCTATCAAATAATTTGTACATATTTATTTTGATACCTAAAGGTGTCCTAAAATTCAAAATCAAATATCGAAATGATCCATGGTAGGACCTTCTTAAAACAATTCCATATGGCAGCTTAGAATTTCTTTCACCGGTAAAACTTGAAAAATTATCATCGACGATTGACAGTGAGAAATATGAAAGGAGGGTGACCACAAAAATGTGTGCGTAAATTAGAGGTAAAGAAACACGTGCACAGAAAGTGATTGGGATATGTTGTTGAACGTTGCGTATAGGAATGCCATGAATAGGGCCTACGTGATTCCTTGTTCAAAATGTCAGAGTGGCATGTTTGTTCTACAAAGCATATTTCCTTTTGGGGGGGTTACCTACGGATCTGCAGCCTCTGCCTTTAGTTTAAAAGAAAGCCAACATAAAGGACATATCTTTTTCTGGGAAAATAGTATTTTACCTGGATGCTTAACTTGAACAATCTTCTCTTCTCTTGTCCTGCTCAAGTTTAAAGATAGTATTATTGCAAAAAGTATACAGATTTCATATTCTTGCTGTCTGAGTGCAGATCAGGTCCCGTATCCACAAAGCATCTCAGAGTAGGATTGCTGATCTAGGATCTGTCAATATAATCTTATTCATTATGATCTAAAAGGCTAAACTGATCCTAGATCAGCACTTTTACTCTGAGATGCTTTGTGGATACAGGCCCAGAGCTACTGTCACACTTTGATCTAGTGGTGTATGGTCTGTAAATGCACTCCCCTTTTACTTCAAATCCTCAGATGTTATTTGGCATCCACATACCTGTATCATTATGGTTTATCAGTATGACTCACTTGTTTTACAACCAGTGAAAAGCAGTATGCAGTAACTTAAACTCTCCCAACTTCAAAATAGGTCCTCCACTCATCATCATCGCCCCAGAGGACACCACCCTCAACATATCCCAGGATGCAGTTCTGCAGTGCCAAGCTGAGGCCTATCCCTCCAACCTCACCTATGAGTGGTGGAAACAGGGACAGAATGTCTACCATATAGAGTGAGTTGACTTCGACACATTGTAAACACACAAACTACATTAGAAACACACACAAACTTCAGTAGAAACACAAACTTCAACACAAACACACACAGAAACACAAACTACAGTAAAAACACAAACGTCAACACAAACACATGCAGAAACACAAACTACAGTAGAAACACAAACACAAACGACAGTAGAAACACAAACTACAACACAAACACACACACAGAATCATAAACTACAGTAGAAACACAAATACAAACTACAGTAGAAACACGAACACAAACTAAAGTAGAAACACAAACACAAACTACAGTAGAAACACAAACACAAACTACAGTAGAAACACAAACTACAGTAGCTACTGGGATCAGTGGCGGTCAGTGCAGTTGAAGATGAGGGAGGACAATGTTGTTGTTGTTCATGAGCATGGCCTTATTTCTATTACAGCATATTGGATGACTGTCATTCATATTCCATTCACCCAGTTCAATGTAACAGCGATAGGTTTAGGCTACTACATGATACTCAAATTTTCCCTATACCCATCATGAGGTTGCTGCAACCTGAATGAAAGTTTACAACGTAGATGCACACAGGTTGAGAGAAAAATGTGAGGTGACAGACACATGGACAGACAGTGACTCATTCAATACTTCCTTGCACACTCTTGCATCTAGCTGATCTAGGGTGTAATCATTTGTCCAACAGTTGCAAACGAAAGTTTCTATTGGACAAATTCAGGTATGTTTATCCCTGTTTCGTTCCATTTGCTTCCGTTTAAGAAACGTTATTCAAGAGAATTGGCGGAATGAATACACCCCTGATCCCGCGTAAACACAGTTCACTTTCATAGCAGCCACGTTGTATTCCTTCTCGCATCTATGCACTCTTCTCCTCTCACCTTTTCCCTTCACTTGTGGACTTCCTAGCCAAATCATATTATAACCGCTACACACCACCTACATCGTTGTCACCATATATGCTAAAGTAACATCATAGTCAACATAACTAATAGAACTAACGCGTTAGTGAACCCGCTACAATCATGCAGTGACGTTACAGTGTACAGTCAGTAAGCAGTTTAGCACTTACACAGGCGAGCCCCGGTGGCAATAAATTAGTCAAACCAAAAGCTTACCTTGACTTGGAAGAGTTCCAGTGTTGTGTTGGATAGTTATAGCCAGCTAGCTAACATAGCATCCCTCTGTTTGAGCAGGGTGTTTGAGTAGGCTAAACTAGCTAGCTGCATTTGCTAGCTAAGTAAGTGAAACTGAAAAGAAAGATGAAATCTCTCTATCTGTCTCTTGCTTCTCCTTAATTTTGGAAGAAATGAATTTGTTCAAAACTGTTCAACTATTTTCTTTCTCTCTCTTTGAGTCAACAAATCACCATATTCTATGCACTGCAGTGTTAGCTAGCTGTAGCTTATACTTTCAGTACTAGATTCATTCTCTGATCCTTTGATTGGGTGGACAACAAGTCAGTTTATGCTGCAAGAGCTCTGATAGGTTGGAGGACGTCTTCCGGAAGATGTCATAATTACTCTGTAAGTGTATGGAAGAGGGTGAGAACCATGAGCCTCCTAGGTTTTGTATTGAAGTCAATGTACCCAGAGGAGGACGGAAGCTAGCTGTCCTCCGGCTACACCATGGTGCTACCCTACAGAGTGCTGTTGAGGCTACTGTAGACCTTTATTGCAAAACAGTGTATTTTAATCAATTATTTCATAACGTGAATATATTTAGTATAGTTTTATCTAAAAAGGATGGTCCTCCCCTTCCTCCTCTGAGGAGCCTCCACTGACTGGGATATGTGAGAAGCATACTGTCTTATCATGTGCATCTATCTTTCCAAGCCCATTGCATTGATTCTATGTAATCTCACAAAGCTTTTGGCACTACAATACAAGTTAATTAAATTATTAGTGAGTCAATTATATACCAGTAGTAGCATTGTGACCACAGGTCATTCTTAGACAATGGAGCATATTGCAACTAAGAAGATTCTCAAGGCCAGGTTGCGATGTGTGTGTTTTGTTCTCAGCTATCTCAAGACCCGTGTGAAGATCTTAGTGGACGGCACACTCCTCATCCCTAGTCTTGTCCCAGAGGACACTGGGATTTACACCTGTATACCAACCAATGGGCTGATGACCCCACCCTCTGCCTCAGCACACCTCAAAGTCAAACGTAAGAATTGTGGTTGACTATGGCTATACATGTCTTGATTTCCTGGCCTGTGTGTTATAGTCCATCTCTGGGAGAGTGACTTACTGTATATATTTCCTTTGTCTCTCTTAGACCCTGCCCGGGTGGGCCGGATGCCCAGGGAGACGTATCTACCTACGGGCATGAGAGGAGTCATCTTCTGCCCAGTCCAGGCTGAGCCCCCCATGCTCTTTGTCAACTGGACCAAAGATGGGAACAATTTAAATCTTGACAATGTAGGTATTCACACTTGGCAACATGAATCATAATATATAGAATTTATATCATTGATCTCTTTTGTATTTCATGTTTGTTTTCTCCTTCTGTCTATGTCTGCTCAGGTCCCTGGCTGGATGGTGAACTCCGAGGGCTCAGTGTTTATAGCCACAGCCAATGACGATGCAGTGGGCATGTACACCTGTACTGCCTATAACAGCTATGGAACCATGGGCCAGTCTGAACCCACTAAGGTTATCCTGCAGGTAAGGCTGGTCCCCAGGCCTCTGTTCCCTGGTCATAGAAAACCCTGCTTCCTGTAGGTCTGGATGGACTTCAAACTGTCTCTCCCTCTGCAGGATCCGCCCTCATTCTCTGTGTCCCCTCGTGCTGAGTACCTGCAGGAGGTGGGCCGGGAGCTGGTCATCCCATGTGAGGCAGATGGAGACCCCTCTCCCAATATCACCTGGAGCAAGGTGAGGTGTCCCTGATAGACACAGCTGATGGAACTCCAGAGAGCATAGCCCTCTATCTCTGTCTGTTTACGCTCATCTCTGTTGTTGCTCTAACTCATAGGTTGGTCCCACTCCTCGCTCCACATACACTGTGCTGTCCAACGGCTCCCTCCTCCTGAAGCCTCTCAGAAAAGACCACCAGGGGGGCTGGGAGTGCCTTGCCACCAACCGCGTGGCCACCATCAGCACTGGCACTGTGGTCTTGGTTCTGGGTGAGTGCCCTCTGCATGGAGCAACATGGCAAGACATGCCATTCTGTAGTACATTGGTATACAGGGTATACAGTTCCACTGGTGTATGCTAATTGCCCTCCTCATCTTCCCCCAGGCACCAGCCCTCATGCTCCCTCATTCGTGTCAGTAAGCACTGGGATGAACCAGGCCAATGTGTCCTGGGAACCTGGATTTGATGGAGGATACACCCAGAAATTTACTATCTGGTTAGTAACTCATCTCAATGTTTATCAGAATGACACTGGCCATTCTCTTCTTTGTCATGGTTCTTAAATCTCTGAGTCCCTCCCTCTTGGCCCCAGGGTTAAGCAGGCTTCCAGAGGGAAACATGAGTGGGCATCTCTCCCAGTGCCCACGTCCAAGTCCCACCTGTTGGTGACAGGGCTGCTGGCTGGCACCAGCTACCAGTTCAGTGTCCTGCCTCAGAACAAACTGGGCTCTGGGCCCTTCAGTGAAATCACCTCTGTCAGGACGCAGGGTCAGTAGAAGTTTTAACTGACAAAGCACTCTTTAATTTGTCTGTATTGGACACTGATCAAAATTTTATTGTATGAACAAGTCTGATCTTATCCTGACTCTCCTCCACAGCCCTGCCAACAGATCCACCGACAGTGGTGACCACTTTACCAACTATCGACTCTCCCTTGTTCCTGTCAGCCAATCGGACGGTGCTTGGGATTGTCCTACAGTGGTATGCTCCTGAGTCTCAGGCCACACCCCTCACTGGGTATGTCCTCCAGGCTCGGAGGGACAGAGGCCAATGGGTCATTCTCAACAGCGCTGTGAAGGCCAACCAGAGTGAACTACTGGTACAAGGATTACTGAGGGTGAGAGGCAATTATAATTTTGGACCTTGGCAGAAAGAATGATGACACTATTAGATAAATTAGGTGTAATGAAAAGTACTTTAAAGTACAATAACTGTAATCTGAAGGCTATGACCTCCAAGTTTTAATGTGTTTTCAGATATGTTGCCCAGAATTGTGTCTATTGAACACTTGTCCTTCTCCCCTCTCCCCTCTCAGGACTGCATTTATGATCTGAGATTGATGTCTCGCAGTAACAAACTACTGAGTGAGCCCAGTGAGTCTGTCAATGTGAACACCACAGGTTAGTATCATTACTGTACAGCCAGCGCTGATCAACTGTATGATAGAAACACTGGTTAGGTTCATAAAAACAAACCCTAAACAAGATGTAACAGTTATATCAATTGTGCTTGGTAATAGTCATGACTCATGACAGTTGTCATTATGTTGATAAATCTATTACGCTGATTGTTAGCCAAAAGCATGGCTGTCTCTACGGTGTTGTTAGTGCATTACTAACACACTGTGCTTGGTGTGGTTGCAGGGATGGAGATGTACCCTGTCTGGCCAGGCTTCCTGGAGTTTGTCCCTGAGCCCTTATTGGCTGGTGTGTTGGGTGGAGTGTGCTTCCTGTTCCTGGCAATCACCCTCTCCTTGGTGACAGCCTGTGTTATGAGTCACAGAAGAGCCCATCGGCGCAGGAAGAGGAGAGATGGTAAAGACTGCTTTATCCTAACATTTCACTGATATTAAAAGAGAAAGAATTTCAAGCTTTCTATCCCTTGAAGTGTTTTATTAGAGGTTATCTTTAAAGGGCCAATCTGCAGTTGAAACAATAACAAAGGGATGGAAAGCTGAGGGATGGGCCTGGAGAAATGTTACCACTCTTAAATTCATAGACAGAGCTATTGATGCAATGTACTGACCATCCAAGATATCAAAATTATAGTTTTAAGCATATTTTCAGTGTTTGTTTACATTTCTAATGTTTACAAACATTGGAGTAAAACAGGCTTTTATTTTGGATGGGTTACGACAGTTGAGCTGAGCACATGAGACATACCTGTACAGTACCAGTCAAAAGTTTGGACACACCTACTCATTCAAGGGTTTTTCTTTATTTTTACTATTTTCTACATTGTAGAATAATAGTGAAGACATCAAAACTATGAAGTAACACATATGGAATCATGTAGTAACCAAAGAAGTGTTAAACAAATCAAAAATATATTTTAGATTCTTCAAAGTAGCCACCCTTTGCCTTGATGAAAGCTTTGCACACTCTTGGCATTCTCTCAACCAGCTTCATGAGCAATGCTTTTCCAACAGTCTTGAAGGAGTTCCCACATATGCTGAACACTTGTTGGCTGCTTTTCCTTCACTCTGCTGTCCAACTCATTCCAAACCATCTCAATTGGGTTGAGGTCGGGTGATTGTGGAGGCCAGGTCATCTGATGCAGCACTCCATAACTCTCCTTCTTGGTCAAATAGCCCTTACACAGCCTGGAGGTGTGTTTTTCATCATTGTCCTGTTGAAAAACAAATGATAGTCCCACTAAGCGCAAACCAGATGGGATGGCGTATCGCTGCAGAATGCTGTGGTAGCCATGCTGGTTAAGTGTGCCTTGAATTCTAAATAAATCACAGACAGTGTCACCATCAAATCACCCCCACACCATCACATCTCCTCCTCCATGCTTCACGGTGGGAACTACACATGCGGAGATCATCCGTTCACTGACTCTGCGTCTCACAAAGATACGGCGGTTGGAATCAAAAATCTCAAATTGGACTCATCAGACCAAAGGACAGACTTCCACCGGTCTAATATCCATTGCTTGTGTTTTTTGGCCCAAGCAAGTCTCTTCTTATTATTGGTGTCCTTTAGTAGTGGTTTCTTTGCAGTAATTCGACCATGAAGGCCTGATTCTCGCAGTCTCCTCTGAACAGTTGATGTTGAGATGTGTCTGTTACTTGAACTCTGTGAAGCATTTATTTGGTCTGTAATCTGAGGTGCAGTTAACTCTAATGAACTTATCCTCTCATCAGAGGTAACTCTGGGTCTTCCTTTCCTGTGGTGGTCCTCATGAGAGCCAGTTTCATCATAGTGCTTGATGGTTTTTGCGACTGCACTTGAAGAAACTTTCAAAGTTCTTGAAATGTTCCATATTGACTGACCTTCATGTCAATAGGGCTATCTTCTGTATACCACCCCTACCTTATCACAACACAACTGATTGGCTCAAACGCATTAAGAAGGAAATAAATTCCTAAAAATTAACTTTTAAGAAGGCACACCTGTTAATTGAAATGCATTCCAGGTGACTACCTCATGAAGCTGGTTGAGAGAATGCCAAGAGTGTGCAAAGCTGTCATCAAGGCAAAGGGTGGCTACTTTGAAGAATCTCAAATATAAAATATATTTTGATTTGTTTAATTAGTCAATGAGTATATACAATTAATGTATGTCCAAAAACAGATGTAGCAACTGTGGATTGCTCCTTTAATAAAGTATTTTCAAAGCCTACTAAGCTGGAGTTCAAAAGCCTTGATGACTGGACCAGCTCTCAGTAACTGTCATGTGGTTCCTTTTCATGTTATGCATGTTAATCTATTTCAGTTGACAGCATTTTTTTCATCCCATTTTTTTTCATACCTTTGTTTATTTTATATGTGCCATTGTTTGACCTTTTCACCCTCTTCTACCTTTTCAGATCTCCCCTCTGCCTTCCAGAAGAGTCCTTCTCCAGAGTAAGTGCCCATAATTACCAGCATATTTCCCTCATTGCATTGGCTGTTTTCTAACCAACCCATTTTCCATTCTTATGTGCCCTTTTTTGAGAATCATTGCATATTAATGTGTATTTATCTGCTACTCATAACAGTAAGCATAGCAATTTGTAGCCACTGAATGCATACATATTGTTATTTTACATATTGTTATTTTAAGCTTGAGACAATAATGGAATAATGTAATAACCTGTCCTCTTCTGTTCAACTGAACTCATCACTCCTCCTATGACTCTTCTCTTTTCCTCAGAGCTCGCTCGCCTTCTGACAGCCCCGACAGCGTTCTGAAGATGAAGCTGTGTCCTCCCCTGTCTTTCTTCCCCAACTCCTCATCTTCCCAGTCTGACCGTTCCTCCTTTGATAAAGGCAGCCGTGGAGAGTACCAGGACCAGCGCAGTCAGCTCCTTTCCAGCTCCTCTCCCCCACCCCACTACACCATCTTTGAGAGCCACCTGGGGGGTAAGGCCCCCTCACCCTCTGCTCTGGAGTCCATCTCAAGAGGCCCAGATGGACGTTTCATTGTCCAGCCCCTGCTAGAGGGGTCTACTCTTTCCAACATTAAGAATAACGTGAAAACAGTCTTCCTACAAACCCAAACCAATGGGGGAGGTAGCGGCACAGGGAGCAACCAGACATCTTTCAGAGACTCTCTAAAGTCCAGCAGTCTGATCTCTGAGAAGGGGGAGAGAAAGGACTCCCTCCTCACAGTGGAGGTTACAGACCTCAGCAAGCCCCCTGCTTCCCCGGGTAGAGTGAGGGCCATGGCCAGGAACTTCTCCCGTCATGGCTGCTTCTACTCTGATGACGAGCAGGGCATCTCAGAGGCTCTGCTGGAGAGAGCCAGCTTCTACTCCGACAGCAGTGAGAAGAGAGCCTGTGACTCCCTGAAAAGAAACCATGCTGGGCACCCAGAGGACATCTTCGCCAGCCTGGGCAGGAGAGCCAGACTGCTGGAGAGGAACAGGCATCACCAAGCAGGCTACCATCCCATGGGGAGAGAGAGCCAGCTGACCAACGCCAGCACACTGGTCTCACAGATTGATACAAGTGAACAAGAGCGGGATAACCTCAGCAAGTGTCTGCAGTTGGCTAAAGAGAGGGAGGAGATGGAGAGGGAGCTGGAGAACTATATCGCCAGCCAGAGGGCAAGGGAGCAGGAGAAAGGTGGGCCTGAGAAGGCAGCAAACCCTAACAGGGAACTGGGCAGTTCAGGGGCTGAGGATCCTATATGGAAGCCACAAAACATTACCTTACGTCCCAAAGCTCACCGGGCTTCCGGGCAGACCCATCAGCTGTCGGACTATAGGAGGGCCTGCTACTTTGGGAACACCAGCAGCCCAATGGACCGGCTCCCTTCCTCCTATATCCAATGGGACATCAGCCCAGTCACATCCATCAACAGCCTAATCCCAGTGCAGAGCCCCTTAGAGAGCACCACACCAAGGTTCCAACATCCTCACCAATGTCACGTTGGGCCGGCCATGGAGGACTCGCTACCTGAGGACTGCTCACGCTCCCCAGTCACTCAATGCACCTCTCTATCTCTGCTCTCCCCTACCTCAGAAAGCCCACCTATTGGTCGAGGAACAGCCAGAGGCAGACCCAGGTCGAGGAGTCCTGACAGAACTGTAGAAAGAGAGCAGGACACGTATCATAGAAGGTCTATGGTTGAGGAAGGCTGGAGGGAAAAGAAGCAGCCAGGGGGAGGTGCCTTAAAACCAAGATCGTCCTTTGCTTATGGTACACAGCATCTGGAGCCAGCAGCTGAAAGTGTCAGATCTGTTTCAGCAGATCAAGTAAGGGCCACAAGTCCTGGTCAGCCTTACCCAGACACTGCATCATATAGTCTTTCTGAGAAAACAGAAACAATAGATTACCTTAGGGAGAGAGTTTATCAGAGTCCTTCTAGTTATTCTACTTTGCCCTATGAGCTCCACAAAGCAGGGGCCAAAGGGAAAGTAAGAGATGATAAGATTGGGGATGACCCTCGGAGTTCACTGTTATACCCTGAGCAGGAGAGAGAGGGTGACAGGACACGCTCCAGAAGGAGTGATAGGGCTCTTTTTAGTGACAGCCCCAGTCGTATTTCTCCCTTAACTCTTCTCGAAGAGTGTGATAGTGACCAGTCCCAGTTCTCTGTTGCCAGAGTCTCAGAGTCTTTCAAGAATAAGCCGACAAACCAGGCTCCCAAAATGTCCCCACTGCAGACAAGTGCAATTCTGGAGTATTTGAGCCTCCCGGGTTTCATTGAGATGAGTGTGGACGACCCTGGGGATGAATCTGAACTCACAGACACTACTTGCCAAAGCGTAGAGCCACAGACAGAGACTTCTCTGGAAGGTAAGCCAGACGTGGTTCCAAAAAACTGGGAAGTTCATGTGCAGGAGAACCTTGAGACAAGTTCATGCCCCAAAAAAGTTTCTTTTTTAGAAAACAGGCACTCTGTTGGTCCAGCAGCAACTTCAGAAGCAGTTGAAAAGCCAGCCTATAGATACTCTCTGCAAGTGGAAGCAAGAGATTCAAGCCACAAAGCTGGGATTCCAGACCAGTCAACAAAACAATCACCTGCTTCAGAACTCACAGGGCATTATCGTCACAACCATGAGCAGTCACAACCACTTATTAGTCAAAAGACCACAGCCTCAGAGAGACCACTATCGAGAATGGGTTTAAGTCCAGCCCAGACGTTGGTTAGTGCAGCTAAAAGCATGGCAGACGTTGTGTCAAAACACACTGACACTTTTGAAGGTAAACCAGAGTCAGCTTCAGAACAATCCCAAAGACTTCATTCTCAGGGCAACAGGACTAATAAAATAGCCTCCAAGATCCATCAACCCCATGCACCGTTCATGAAGAAGTCTCTGAGCATCGGCCCCTGCAGAACACTCTCAGGCATGGGACAGCCTCGTCCATTTCTGAAGAAATCCATCAGCTTAGGGTCACAGAAATGGGAGCATTTTGAAAGCCCAAGGACTTATGTCTCAGAGAAATGTTACTGGGATGAGTTCCCAAACCCAGACGTCCGGGTCAAGTCCTATAGTTTAGGACGCACCCCTGCATCCTCCTTCTCCAGGCCAGGCCCCTCGTGGCGAGAAGGGGTCCCTTTTAGACGGCCAAGTGTAAGCAGCTTGGAAAGGCCTAGGTATGCTGAAAAATCATTGGAGAGGCCTCAGTATGACAGATCCTTAGCCAGCTCTTCCTATACCTACCTCAGCTCCTCCATGTACCCACCAAGGCAACCCCCAGGCTCTAATAGACGAGACCTATCTGATCCACGTAGACAGGCCACTGCTTATCCTGATGCATCCAGGTCGCCTATCACATATCAGGATGCCCTGAGGTCTGTACAGCACAGATATGTCCCTATGGATTCCTCAATACCCCAGTACCCACCCAGACCAGACCAGTACCCACCCAGACCAGGCATGAGGGGGGACTACCCCAGACCGATCGAGTCCAAGAGGGGCCCACCGAGGCCCAAACTGCCCCGGATGTATAGCTGGCCCTCACCCTACCATGGTGGCCCTTTCCCACCCAGAGATGTAGACAGTTATAGACAGGCAGAGAGAGGGACAGGTAAGGGGGCAGGAGCTGAGGTAGAGATGAGAGACAACAGGGAAGGAGGGAGGGCCAGTTATGCCAGCCAGAGCAGTGGCAGAGGTAGCGTTGGCCTCCTCCGCCAGTCCCTCTCTATCACTCCCACCCTTCTCAGCTCCCCAGAGACAACTGAGGATAGTGAGACACAGAGACACAGAGCCAAGATGGATCTACGTGAGTGGAGAAAAAAAAGGTGAAACTACCGCACCAATCCAACATCACACAGAGATGTCTTCACAGCCAAAGAAATTCAGGATATTGCAAATATGTCATTGATATACTGTTAAATTATTGTTATTGTCCTGTGTATGTCTGACTTTGACCACTTGTTTTGTGTGTCTGTCAATAGAAGGAACACATCAGTAGATGAGAGTTATGAGTGGGATTCCGCTGATGTCTGTGTGGACTCGGAAGTCCTGGAGGCCATGAAGCCACAGGCAGGGGTAGGGAAGGGCAGGGGGGAGGGCAGGCATGATCGACCCCGTTCCGCGGCTGGCCTCCAGGACCTCCACAGGAAAGGTAAGAGAATTGTATGTTATTATTCACCACACTGAATGTATCATATCATGTGTGAATTCATTTGTGCCTTTTGTTGTGGTTGTGGTGATGTGAGTTGTACCCATGACTCTCCCATTCCATGCTGTTCCTCTCCCCGCCCCTCAGGCCCGCCTCCCACAGTCAGGCCACGAGTTTCCAACCCACCTCGCTGCCAATACAGCCGCTCCCTAAGTGAGGCGCGCTTCAACGCACTCCGCCTAGAGTATCAGGAGTACAGGCGTGCTCAGGAAACCTCCTGCACCAGTGATCCCTGCCTCCCCCCTGACACAGACTCTGACTCCAACTCAGCGCTCCTCTAACCGCCTGCCCACCCTGGTCCGTTCCTCTCTGCCTGCTACTGCTACCCCCTCACCTTCTCTTTGACCTCTCACTGTCTGCCTTTGTCCCTGACAGTCTTCATCCCTCTGTTGTGAAATTGTGCACTCACTTTTTCCTTTAATTTTAAAACTCTTTGTCTTTTTAAGCAAAGCACCAATTTATACTAGCTAATGGAATGATAATCTTACAGTATTTTGATGTTTGTCTTTCTGAATGTTATATTGTTTGTCCTGGGAATGTATTTAACGGTGTGCTGTATTCTATCATTTTGTGTTTCAGATATTTCAAACAAAGGAAGCAAATAGATTCTCAGATGCACAGAATACAGCACTGTGGTCCTCGATATATGCTGGATATATTTATTGAAGCTTTGTGATACCGCGACACCTAATTTTTATATGTACAAAATCCATATCCTCAACAGTTCAATTGGATCATCTTTGGACAGAACACTGTCAAAAGTATAACCAACTGAAAGACAGGATATGCTGCTTGATCATATGGCGCACATCGTACACAACAATTGCCACAGATATTGATACCTGTGTTGTGTGCCATCATTATTGACACAGAATAATACTTGGCCCTGTTTGAAGCCTGTTATGAGATGCTGGATATTTATATTTCTTGTGTTTTGTGTAATCAACACAAACAGTATTTTGCATTTAGAGCCACCAATCCTCTAGGTAAATGGCTTGTGCTTTGAGTGAGTGAGCCTTCATCTTTGTATTGCATCGTTACAGTGGGTAGCTCATCATTACCTGAGTAGAAAACTTTTTTTTTTTTGTTATTAATTTCCCAATTACAATCTTGTCACAGGTGAATCTCCCTCATTTATGTGTTTGTAATCATCCTCAGTTTTCTCAGCAGAGTATTTCAGACTAACAGGAAAGTGTTGAGTGATTGCTTGTAAGAGTTAACAGTGTCAATGTGTTCATGTACTGTAGCCCTAGACAATTAAATCTTGTATTTTTGGTACCATAAAAACTCAACATCTTAATCCTCGATCATATGAAAAAGAATTCACGCTGACATTTCTTGACTTTAAAAATATCTTATGTTGTTCATGACAGGGAAAAGTTCTGTATCATCTTTGCTTTACCTTTGTCAAAAATACGGTAGTTCACCGTTCACAAATATGGTTAAACAGATTCCCAAATTAAGCATATATTAAATTATTGGAGATCAAGAATAACAATATGGCTTGAGATTAAGTACTGTATATATTTTAATAATCTACATCTTTCTTTTTTTATATTTTGTACTACAAGCATAATTGAGCATTATTGTATATTTATTAACATGACTTTTGATATGCAACAATGTTTACATGCAAGTTCACATCATTGATGTGAAAACCACACTGTGAATATACTCCATTAAGATGAATTATATGTTGGAATAAGACGTCTCCATTTATTGTTGTACATTTTCTGCACAAAATTGTGTCCTGACTTTTGTTATGTAATGACAAAACTGTACTTTTGTACTTTATACTGGAACTGTTTTACAGTAACCAAAAAAGAAAAAAGGAAGGAAAAGTAAAAAGGAAGGAATTGAAGCCTGTATTATAATTCAGGAGCAGCTGTAAATCTGTACATTTGGAGTACATAAACATTTTTTTGTTTTGTACCAACTGGGTTGAAAAAAAAAAATCTGCTCATTTGGTTGTTCTTATTATAATTTGTATATGTTTGTATTGAATAAATTGTTTTATTCTGAATGTACCAGAATGTGACATGATTTGACATGGACGTATTGAACAGGGTCCTGAACTATCCAGTTTACACTCATGTTCATTTTATTGGTCACAGTTAGTGAGGTGGAACTCAGATTGAATCATTCACAGACTTTACACCTTTACTTTATTCACAGACAACACACTCGGTTCAAAACTGAGGGATGCATAATTTGTGATGATAATGCTGTGTCCTACTGCACCACTCTTCTTAGACGGGATCTCAGCACAGCTTGTGCCTTCTTCTGCCTCTCTGCTATGCTGGAGTTTAGGCTCTGTTTGATGGCTGGCAAGACTACTCTTTCTCTCATGCCAATCGGGGCTGGGGGTCTTCAGAAGGCAAAAATAATATGTTTATTTTAAGTAATACCATGGGGCACATTAATAACACTATAAATAGCATGACTGACGTACAGTCTTTTTGGCAGCGACTTGAGAGGTAGTTTTGGAAACATTCCAATGTCTTTGTTTCTGAAAGAAATAATTCAATAAGAAGACTATTTTAGGATATGAGATGAGTTTTTCCAAACATTTTGATAAATTGTGTAGACTATTTCACCTGTCTGCGTCAGAGAGGTAGGCCTTGGTCAGTGTGTAAGCCTCCTGGGACATTTTCTTGTTGTTGACTATTATGTCTTTGAGGATGGCCTTCATGCGTAACAGCTGAAACACAAGTTGAGAGAAGAGAGTTTTAACATTCTGAGATTAAATGTGACATGGCGTTCTTACATTCTGACATGGAATGAGTGCAGAACATGATACAGTAGGATCATCTCTGTAGCCTACCTCCTGGGACTGCAAGTTGTTGTTTTTACAGAGCTGTCTGATGATGACCTTACACTCCTGCAGGGTGGGGGCGCGGGGGGAGTGAGATGGACCACCATCAATCCGCAGGGGAAGCAAGGATGTGATCAACCCCCCTTTTGATTCTGCATTTAAATCTGAGCTTAAAAGCTTAGATGTGCATGCTGTATCTACTCTGCATGCCAGTGTGCAGGAAAATAAAGAGAACGTTCAATCAACACTTCCACCAAAGTGTTTTATTATTAATGATATGTAAGATAGAAAGATGTTATATACAGTTGAAGTCGGAAGTTTACATACACTTAAGTTGGAGTCATTAAAACTTGTTTTTCAACCACTCCACAAATTTATTGTTAACAAACTATAGTTTTGGCAAGTCGGTTAGAACATCTACTTTGTGCATGACACATGTAATTTTTCCAACAATTGTTTACAGACAGATTATTTCACTTATAATTCACTGTATCACAATTCCACTAAGTTGACTGTGCCTTTAAACACCTTGGAAAATTCCAGAAAATGATGTCATGGCTTTAGAAGCTTCTGATAGGCTAATTGACATCAAACTCAGTGCCTCTTTGCTTGACATCATGGGAAAATCAAAATAAATCAGCCAAGACTTCAGAAATTTTTTTTGTAGACCTCCACAAGTCTGGTTCATCCTTGGGAGCAATTTCCAAACGCCTGAAGGTACCACGTTCATCTGTACAAACAATAGTACGCAAGTAAAAACACCATGGGACCACGCAGCCGTCATACCGCTCAGGAAGGAGACGCGTTCTGTCTCCTAGAGATGAACGTACTTTGGTGCGAAAGGTGCAAATCAATCCCAGAACAACAGCAAAGGACCTTGTGAAGATGCTGGAGGAAACGGGTACAAAAGTATCTATATCCACAGTAAAACAAGTCCTATATCGACAACCTGAAAGGCCACTCAGCAAGGAAGAAGCCACTGCTCCAAAACCGCCATAAAAAAGACAGACTACGGTTTGCAACTGCACATGGGTACAAAGATTGTACTTTTTGGAGAAATGGTCTGATGAAACAAAAATAGAACTGTTTGGCCATAATGACCATCATTATGTTTGGAGGAAAAAGGGGGTGCCTTGCAAGCCTAAGAACATCATCCCAACCGTGAAGCATGGGGGTGGCAGCATCATGCTGTGGGGGTGATTTGCTGCAGGAGGGACTGGTGCACTTCACAAAATAGATGGCATCATGAGGAAGGAAAAGTATGTGGATATATTGAAGCAACATCTCAGGAATCAGTCAGGAAGTTAAAGCTTGGTCGCAAATGGGTCTTCCAAATGGACAATGACCCCAAGCATACTTCCAAAGTTGTGGCAAAATGGCTTTAGGACAACAAAGTCAAGGTATTGGAGTGGCCATCACAAAGCCCTGACCTCAATCCTATAGAAAATCTGTGGGCAGAACTGAAAAAGCGTGTGCGAGCATGGAGGCCTACAAACCTGACTCAGTTACACCAGCTCTGTCAGGAGGAATGGGCCAATATTCACCCAACTTATTGTTGGAAGCTTGTGGAAGGCTACCCGAAACATTTGACCCAAGTTAAACAATTTAAAGGCAATGCTACCAAATACTAATTGAGTGTATGTAAACTTCTGACCCACTGGGAATGTGATGAAAGAAATAAAAGCTGAAATAAATCATTCTCTCTACTATTATTCTGACATTTCACATTCTAAAAATAAAGTGGTGATCCTAACTGACCTAAGACAAGGAATTTTTACTAGGATTAAATGTCAGGAATTGTGAAAAACTGAGTTGAAATGTATTTGGCTAAGGTGTATGTAAACTTCCGACTTCAACTGTAGGTGCTAAGTGTGATGATTACCTTAGATTTGCTGATGGAGATGGTAGACCATGCAGAGGATAGCTGGTCTGCTCTATGTAGCTGGGCTGTTGTGTTTGAGATCTGCATCTTGGAGATACTAAACCACAAGGGGGAAAGGGACATGAGCGAACACACAATTTGTTCCCCAATAACATGATGGCGTGGGAGGAAAAAACCTACAGAAGAAAATATCAGGCATAGGCCTACTCATACCTTCAGATTGTTGTGGCTCCATTATCGATTGATAGTGTAGTTCTGCAAATTGAATAAATCAATTATTAGGCCTGTAACAACACTATTTAATAATACAGTAGCCTACTAGGCTACTCATGATGCATTTAACTTTATACCTTTATTTTCACGTTTTAGTTCTTCGATTTCCTCATGCAGTTTGCTCAGTGTTTCTCTGTGCTGTTTTTGTAGGAATAAAACATCCTTCTTCAATGATGCCACTCGTGTAATGTCAGAATCCATGGTGCATTGAAAAGTTAAACTTTCTGAGTCCATAATTTGTGGAGGATTGGGTGGCCAGTCACGGGGTAATTGTCGGGGATAACGGGCCTCGTCAAGACAACCGAGATGGGACCAGCGGGGCAGGTTCCGGACAGGTGGGAGACGGCTATTTTTTGAAATGATATTAGAAAATGCAACACGTTTTATATCACCTAGATATAAACAGTACCGGCACTAAAAAATAACTACCAGCACCTATTTCAGTCCAAGCCCAGCACTGGGTAAAATTAGGGTACATATATCTTAGCAGCATGGTAGCCTAAGTTTATAGCACCAAGAGCCACACATGGGAGAGGACCATGATCATGAAAAAATACGTAACTTTTCAGATAGGCCAATAAGTCCTGATTAGGCTGTTCATGCTTACATGTATCTTAAACAAACATTTAAGTTTCCAAAGACTGGACTCAGTGCACTGCTCGACTTACTTCCTGATGTCTCACTTTTGCCTCCCTTCAACAACACAGTCGTTACCATAGCAACCGACAGTCAGTCTCTATATCCTATTAAATTACAAGAGGTGGGGCTATGTCATAAACCCTCATAGGTCCAGAACGGAGTGAAAATGGCAGCCATATTGGTCAGGGTGAAATCCAAATCAGTCTAATTGGAATTAATGGCAGTAGAGGCATAACCCTGATTGTACTTATTTACTTATGCAGGAAAATAAAAGTAAGGCATGATATCAGAAATTGTGTAATAGAATTATTGTCAACCTAAAATATTGTCATCTAATTATAAATACAGTTTATATGGGGTTTATACACATTTTCGGTATAAATCGCCTCTAAATTATATGTAAACAGACCAATGTCTCAATTTTTGTTTTCTTGGAAAACGACATGCTATTATATGATACAATATCATTACTTGTTGCATCTACAACTTCCAAGTCCTATCATCAACTGATTTCAGCCAGTCTATTGCTGTGTCTGCATTGTTTGAATGGAATGCTGGCATGTTGGCAGTTAATTTGAAACATTTATGGAATCATTCCTCTAAAACTGTCTGGACAGCTAGCTAACACTTCAGGAGGCTGAAGAAATGTGGCTTGGCACCTAAAACCTACACAAACTTTTACAGATGCACAATTGAGAACATCCTGTCGGGCTGTATCACCGCCTGGTACGGCAACTGCACTGCCCGCAACCGCAGGGCTCTCCAGAGGGTGGTGCGGTCTGCCCAAAGCATTACCGGGGGCAAACTACCCGCCCTCCAGGGTACCTACAGCACCCGATGTCACAGGAAGGCCAAAAAGATCATCAAGGACATCAACCACCCGAGCCACTGCCTGTTCACCCCGCTATCAACCAGAAGGCGAGGTCAGTACAGGTGCATCAAAACATGGACCGAGAGACTGAAAAACAGCTTCTATCTCAAGGCCATCAGACTGTTAGATATGACTTGTTAGATATTACTGCACTGTCGGAGCTAGAAGCACAAGCATTTCGCTACACCCGTAATAACATCTGCTAAACACGTGTATGTGACCAATACAATTTGATTTGATTTGAACAAACATACAGCGCAGATACATTCTTCAAATTCATTATTTTACACAATATCTTATCACAGCACTGGCAAACCATGGTTGACCAATTCCCTGACCTTTATCCCATCATAACAAGGTTCATGTCCATTCTAGTATTCTAATTCCTAATTATATTGTAGACCACACACATAGCTCAAGACATCCACACATGATTGCATAAATATTGTGTGCAGCCTACATTTGAATAGCAGTGGAGGCTGCTGAGGGGAAAATGGCTCATAATAATGGCTGGAATGGAGAAATGGAATGGTATCAAAAACATGGTTTTCATGGGTTTGATACCATTCCATTCACTCCATTCCGACCATTATACTCCATTACAGCCATTATTATAAGCAGTTCTCAGCAGCCTCCACTGTTGAATAGTTTATTTCCAAAACGCCATATAGACCAATTTTTCATGTTTTTTCATCAGAAATAAATGCTTATGGGTAGCTAGCTACCTTTATGTGTCTGTAAAATATTACTGTTCTCAGATTTTTTATTAATAGATCTTAGACCGTTTTGGGGAGTAGTGAACTACATACAGTGGGGGAAAAAAGTATTTAGTCAGCCACCAATTGTGCAAGTTCTCCCACTTAAAAAGATGAGAGAGGCCTGTAATTTTCATCATAGGTACACGTCAACTATGACAGACAAATTGAGAAACATTGTAGGATTTTTAATGAATTTATTAGCAAATTATGGTGGAAAATAAGTATTTGGTCAATAAGAAAAGTTTCTCAATACTTTGTTATATACCCTTTGTTGGCAATGACACAGGTCAAACGTTTTCTGTAAGTCTTCACAAGGTTTTCACACACTGTTGCTGGTATTTTGGCCCATTCCTCAATGCAGATCTCCTCTAGAGCAGTGATGTTTTGGGGCTGTCGCTGGGCAACACAGACTTTCAACTCCCTCCAAAGATTTCCTATGGGGTTGAGATCTGGAGACTGGCTAGGCCACTCCAGGACCTTGAAATGCTTCTTACGAAGCCACTCCTTCGTTGCCCGGGCGGTGTGTTTGGGATCATTGTCATGCTGAAAGACCCAGCCACGTTTCATCTTCAATGCCCTTTGCTGATGGAAGGAGGTTTTCACTCAAAATCTCACGATACATGGCCCCATTCATTCTTTCCTTTACACGGATCAGTCGTCCTGGTCCCTTTGCAGAAAAACAGCCCCAATGCATGATGTTTCCACCCCCATGATTCACAGTAGGTATGGTGTTCTTTGGATGCAACTCAGCATTCTCTGTCCTCCAAACACGACGAGTTGAGTTTTTACCAAAAAGTTCTATTTTGGTTTCATCTGACCATATGACATTCTCCCAATCCTCTTCTGGATCATCCAAATGCACTCTAGCAAACTTCAGACGGGCCTGGACATGTACTGGCTTAAGCAGGGGGACACGTCTGTCCACTGCAGGATTTGAGTCCCTGGCGGCGTAGTGTGTTACTGATGGTAGGCTTTGTTACTTTGGTCCCAGCTCTCTGCAGGTTATTCACTAGGTCCCCCCGTGTGGTTCTGGGATTTTTGCTCACCGTTCTTGTGATCATTTTGACCCTACGGGGTGAGATCTTGCGTGGAGCCCCAGATCGAGGGAGATTATCAGTGGTCTTGTATGTCTTCCATTTCCTAATAATTGCTCCCACAGTTGATTTCTTCAAACCAAGCTGCTTACCTATTGCAGATTCAGTCTTCCCAGCCTGGTGCAGGTCTACAATTTTGTTTCTGGTGTCCTTTGACAGCTCTTTGGTCTTGGCCATAGTGGAGTTTGGAGTGTGACTGTTTGAGGTTGTGGACAGGTGTCTTTTATACTGATAACAAGTTCAAACAGGTGCCATTAATACAGGTAACGAGTGGAGGACAGAGGAGCCTCTTAAAGAAGAAGTTACAGGTCTGTGAGAGCCAGAAATCTTGCTTGTTTGTAGGTGACCAAATATTTATTTTCCACCATAATTTGCAAATAAATTCATTAAAAATCCTACAATGTTTCTCAATTTGTCTGTCATAGTTGACGTGTACCTATGATGAAAATTACAGGCCTCTCATCTTTTTAAGTGGGAGAACTTGCACAATTGGTGGCTGACTAAATACTTTTTTTCCCCACTGTAGCCCCGTGTAGCTCAGTTGGTAGAGCATGGCGTTTGCAACGCCAGGGTTGTGGGTTCAATTCCCACGGGGGGCCAATATGAAGAATCACTAACTGTAAGTCGCTCTGGATAAGAGCAGCTGCTAAATGACTAAAATTAAAATTTAGTTCTATAAGTAATGTAATTACATTTTGCAGTAGCTTGGTGGTAGTTGGAACTAAATTCAAATGTTGGTAGTGTTTTCAGCAGTTATTTAGGCTACTTCTTTGCCATGTAGTGGTGTAGCTAACTACTGGAACTACACACTACTTTTTTTGCACAAAAAAAAACATGGAATTTCCTTTATTTTTCAGCATCAGACCTGCCTAATTCTCACGTGAAACACTTTTTATGTAACTTTTTTTGCGACCCGAGCAAATTCACATTGACACGTGAGTTATAGATTTCACTCTCATTAAAAGCAAGTCTAAGAAGCGTTAGATCTGTTCTATGTGCGATATTTCAACACTACACTATGCTTGTTTTGTCACATAAACTGAAATTAGGCGAACTATTTGAATTTTAGTAACCAGGTAATGGTAGAGCGATTTAGATTTTCAGAGAAGTTTGGAAGTAGTGAACAATTTTTTCTAAGTAACTTTAGTTAAGTAAACTATTTTTCTTAAGGGTAGCTTTAGTGTAGCTTAACTTCTTCCAGTGTGAAGTAATTGGTCAACTATATTTTCAGAGTAGTTTCCCCAACACTGATTTTAGATGGGTTTTGTAGCTAAATGCTATAGCCTATATCCATTGTTTAGCTGGAAAGGAATGTTCGTATCGTGTATATTTTAAATACATATCTCATATTACTGTATTATTCATTTGCATAGTTCTTTATTAAAACATTTGTCACATTTGACTGTGTAAAACCTTGCAGTGCTACTTTTTCTGAGAGTGATGCAGATATATATAATTTTGCAACAAAATATGATTGTCTCTCTGAAATGAAACCATTTAGTGATAGATTTCAAACAAATAGATGTCATTTAACAACTCCATGCCATGATTAGATGGGGTAAAAAAATACACCAATCTCTTTCATAAGTTCTTTAAACAAAAAATGCTAATTTCTGAAACTGCATATAAAGCATTTGAGTGAAACTTTTCATTTTCAGTTCTTAGATTGAACGCAATTAGCTAAAACAAAATTTGACATTTATTTTTATTTAGAATATGACCAGCTTTATGTATAAACAGTCCACAATATTTTACTTAACATTTTTACACACTTATGAAAGTAAAGCAGAAAGGCAAAAATAAAATAAACTATGACAAAATAAAATAAACAATAGCGCAACAAAACACTTGTACAACTAGATTATTGACCACATGAAAAAAAGGTTGAATCCTAACACAAGTTGAGATTACTTGTGTGAAGTATTCCATCCCAAATGATTTCAATCAGATTCTCACAATCTTGAGGATCAGGGGGAAAAACTCATGCACAGACAACACACATAACTGTCACATAACTCAAGTTAAGTAATCACAAAGTACAAATAAAAATTGTCATTCAGTCAGAGGATGAGTCTACATCTACAATGGCGTCCAACTATTTTTTGTCAATAAAAAAAAAAAAAGAGAAAATAATGTTCCTCTATTTGTCCAACATAGGAAAAATGTGAATAACGTACATTGCAAAACTATGAGACACTTTACATTTCTCATGGTTTTCCATTAATTACTTTCATAACAATGAGTGCCTCAATCACTGGCCATGTTTATGTAAAATAGTTGTTATTTTTTTACTACTGACGAACCAATCTTACTTTAAATGGGAAACCTATTGACTTCCAAGTTTCAGAACTGCACAACTGTTAGACTAAATAAAATGCAACAGTGCCTTGCATACACATCAAAAGAAAAAACAAGTTTACCACACCAGGGACAGCCAGTTAACAAATAATGGTCAATTTCAATTGAGAAATCAATGTCTAAAATTCAGTGTCTGTTTAACCTTGGTGCCTTTCAGGTTTAACTGATAAAATGTCCAATTATAATCACATGGCAGGCAAGTCACCAAGTTCACTCAAATGATTGCTGTTAAGTGGGCATTTAACACTTCAAACCAATGGCCCAATACTACTGCCACACTGTGGAAAGCCTAAACTTCCAAACTTAACCTTTGTCAAGCCATGACTTAAAACACTGTCATACACTAAGTTGAGTCTCACACCATATCTGATCATTCAATAAACCAGGTGTAGACCTAAACCGTACAGCAGTTCTTAAAATAACGCCCCATATATTACCAGTTTCTCTTGCTTTACATGTAAGGGTCAAGTCCTTAATGCCATTTACATGCAAATTCCTAAAAGCCAAGCTTCAGTGGTGAAAATACGAATCAAGTATTGAATCTCTGCCATTGTAAAAGGAAGCTTTCATGCACTCAAGCACCCACAATCAAGAAATAAGTGTGTCCATTTGTGTTAATGTTGATTATTGAAAGCAGAGTATTTGCAGAGAATATATCCATTTGGTACAGTTTTTGGATCACATATCTGTAGGTGTGTGTTTGAAACGAGGTCAATAGACGTGCTCATAGAGAAGCATGGATGTAAGAGAAAGAAGCGGCTGGGCTGGTTACATTAAGGTGTGTATGCAGGAGGCGGCTGGAACTGGTTGGCAATGTCATAATCAGCAGGATATGTTTCACTGCTCTCCTCCATCTCTGAGAGAAGCTCTAGAGCCTGCTCCTCCTCCTCTGTGGGGTAGTGGCGCAGCAGGTTTGCAGCTGTGGCCAGAATGGAGGCTCCACCAGCCCCCGCCACCAGGTAGAAGCTAATGGCAAAAGTGACGTAGATGAGCGAGCCGTGGTACTTCTTGTGCTGCTGCTGTAGCGACAAGATAAGCTCTGAGGCCCAGTAGCAGAACCCAATCACTGTGGCACACTGCAGCACTAAAACCATACAAAGAAAGAGCAGGCAGGGGAAAAAGGAAAGGGGTTATTTGATTTCCATTGTTTCTATTAGGGCCGGGATGATACCAGTATTGCGATACTCATTAGTATCGTGGCAAGGAAACAAAACACAAAGCGGATTTAACTTCTTTAGGAAAACAACCCTAATGTTGGAAACAAACATCAATATGTCATCCAGAGTCACATTTATACATTTTCCAAGCTATAGCACACAATATTTACATACAGCAGGTTTTTAAAGGCCCAAAGAGTTAGGTCTGCTTTGTGTTTTCATGTTTGACATGGGGGGGAAAATATTGGCCATATTGGTATCGTACCAGCCCTAGTTTATACTTTGCCTTTAAATTGTTGTCACACTTTAGCTGAATAGCTAATTTCCTCTCTTGTCCACAACCCAAACCCATTCATACCTGTGAGAATGTGGGCAAATGCGTATCTGCGGGTGATCTTGAGGGCAGGGTGCTTGGGTCCAAAGACATCCAACAGGAAAGCTGTCAGGCTGCACAGGATGCCCAGGAAGCAGAAGGCAGCAATGACCCTTAGCAGCAAGATGGTCTGGGAGTTCACACAGTAATCTGAAGAAGAAGTTGGTGATAGGTAACACAAACCACAGGTCGTATGTGCTTTGAGACACTGTTGGCAAAATCATGACTTACCCTCCAGGAGTTTTGGGTCAATGTATCCCAGGACGTCAGCCACTCCAAGCTCCTGCTTGGGACACGTCCCTCCATGAACTCGGACCCAAGCTGGTTCGGCCAAGGCCGTACATAGAGCCGTGATGGAGAGTGCTCCGGGGAGGGCAGATGCCAGGCTTCGCTCTGGCTGCTTGGGCAGTGCGGTACCCCCTCTCCTTCGCCGGCTTCCGGGGACAGTGGTACCCGGTGGTGCATACATAGTCATCCAATTCCCACTTGGTCGTCAACCAGGACTCAGTGCCTGATTTATAGCTATGATAAGTCAGTCTTCAAATGACAAACAGTTTTTGTTTTGACAAAGCGCCCTTCTGTCTGTGAAGTGATCAGTTAACTTCACTAAAACCGATAGTGTAGGTCAACTGGTAACAATATGTGTCAAATAAATAGGTTTAAGTTGTTGATTCACAATGCGTAATCTCTCAGCTAAATTACTCAAAAATAGACCGATAATTTTCAGTCTAGTTAGCTAGGGGCGGCAGGTAGCTTAGTGGTTAAGAGCGTTGTGCCAGTAACCGAAAGGTCGCTGGTTCTAATCCCCGAGCCGACTAGGTGAAAAATCTGTCGATGTGCCCTTGAGCAAGGCACTTAACCCTAATTGCTCCTGTAAGTCGCTCTGGATAAGAGCGTCTGCGTAAATGTAAATACAAAGCTCAGACCTCGACGTATGCCTGTTGTTAGCAGCAGAAGCTAGGTAGTTAGCAGTAGCCAAACAGCTAGCTAGCAGTCTAAAATCCTAGTTGATTTACTTCAAACAAACAGTAACGTGAACTGACACGCATAATAGACCAAATCTAAAGACATGATACTCACAATCTGGCCCAAATGAATACTTATACTAACGATTTTACGCTAAAAACAGAAGGCAGCCAAATAGCTAGCTAGCTAGCTTTCTTCCTGTAAAATTGTTTCCTTGTTCATCATCACTTCTTCTTTTTAGATTTGTTACACCAGACCAAGGTACTTTTGTGGTTATTACCGCCACCTACTGGGATATTATGCAGCTACACTTTCGCCATTTGGTACAACGTGTCCAAAAAACACGTGCAATGTTCATAATGTACTGATGGGGGCGGTAATGAGCCAGATGGACTTTAGATTGGCAGCGCTTAACTACGGAGAGGAAGAAAAAGTAGGACGTTGAGGTTAGAGTAATTTTGGCAAAGCTTTAGTTGCGAAATTTATTTACAAAAACCATATAACAACCTCGTATTTGAAGTGGATATTAGCTGTCTTCCTTGTTTATGTGTGTATTACGTTTGCATTATCCTCTTGGAGATACGGTTTTGTTGATATCATAGCTACGACTAGCTTGGTGTTTTGGTAGCAGCACATTGTGCTTTATCAGTTGCCAATAACAAGTCACTAGCTAGATAGCAGCTTGCTAGCAATGAACGACACTTTGGCCCTTCTACAGAAATTCAATGCGCATCCAGATTCCCGCTGTTGGTATGTTGCATGGAACCCTAAAGGCACATTGCTGGCATCATGCGGTGGTGACCGAGCCATTCGGATATGGGGAAGGGAAGGTAAATATGCCAAATCCACTGTGTGAAATGAACCTTATCAGCAGCATGTGCCCGCGGAAACCCAAAAAAATTTATAAGGGTGCAATTTGGGGCGTTCCTGCATGTGGCCATTCCTGCATCTGCAGGCACCTCTCTTTATACTTCTATTGGTCAATTTTTGAAGATGCAAAATGACTAAGGTCGACGATGGATTGATTGGGCTACATTGATGCGCGTCACATGAAAACAAACATGTCTGAATACAGTGTTTGATGGTCTACATAACGAAGAAATCAGTACAATTTATCGTATTGGACGTGGAGGAAATTGGAAGAGTAGGGGGAGTCGGAGGAGAAATGTCGTCCCTAGACAAGGCAAGAACTACATGTATGTCAGGAAAAGTGCAGTACAGTCGTGGTCAAAAGTTTTGAGAATGACACATATTAATTTTCACAAAGTCTGCTGCCTCAGTTTTTATGATGGCAATTTGCATATACTCCAGAATGTTATATAGAGTGATCAGATGAATTGCAATTAATTGCAAAGTCCCTCTTTGCCATGAAAATGAACTTAATCCCCAAAAAAAAACATTTCCACTGCATTTCAGCCCTGCCACAAAAGGACCAGCTGACATAATGTCAGTGATTCTCTCGTTAACACAGGTGAGTGTTGACGAGGACAAGGCTGGAGATCACTCTGTTATGCTGATTGAGTTAGAATAACAGACTGGATGCTTTAAAAGGAGAGTGGTGCTTGAAATCATTGTTCTTCCTCTGTTAACCATGGTTACCTGCAAGGAAAAACGTGCCGTCATCATTGCTTTGCACAAAAAGGGCTTTACAGGCAAGGATATTGCTGCTAGTAAGATTGCAGCTAAATCAACCATTTAACTGATCATCAAGAACTTCAAGGAGAGAGGTTAAATTGTTGTGAAGAAGGCTTCAGGGCACCAAAGAAAGTCCAGCAAGCGCCAGGACCGTCTCCTAAAGTTGATTCAGCTGCGGGATCGGGGCACCACCAATGCTGAGCTTGCTCAGGAATGGCAGCAGGCAGGTGTGAGTGCATCTACACGCACAGTGAGGCAAAGACTTTTGGAGGATGGCCTGGTGTCAAGAAGGGCAGCGAGGAAGCCACTTCTCTCCAGGAAAAACATCAGGGACAGACTGATATTCTGCAAAAGGTTCAGGGATTGGACTGCTGAGGACTGGGGTAAAGTAATTTTCTCTGATGAATCCCCTTTCCGGTTGTTTGGGGCATCCGGAAAAAAGCTTGTCCGGAGAAGACAAGGTGAGCGCTACCATCAGTCCTGTGTCATGCCAACAGTAAAGCATCCTGAGACCATTCATGTGTGGGGTTGCTTCTCAGCCAAGGGAGTGGGCTCACTCACAATTTTGCTTATGAACACAGCCATAAAGAATGGTACCAACACATCCTCCGAGAGCAACTTCTCCCAACCATCCAAGAACAGTTTGGTGACGAACAATGCCTTTTCCAGCATGATAGAGCACCTTGCCATAAGGCAAAAACTCCAAGCATTGATTATGCAAGAATGGGCTGCCATCAGTCAGGATGTGGCCCAGAAGTTAATTGACAGCATGCCAGGGCGGATTGCAGAGGTCTTGAAAAAGAAGGGTCAACACTGCAAATATTGACTCTTTGCATAAACTTAATGTAATTGTCAATAAAAGCATTTGACACTTATGGAATGCTTGTAATTATACTTCAGTATACCATAGTAACATCTGACAAAAATATCTAAAAACATTGAAGCAGCAAACTTTGTGAAGACCAATACTTGTGTCATTCTCAAAAGTTTTGACCACGACTGTACTATCATGATGAGGAGAGTTATACTTGGAATACGGAGGAGGAATGGAGGGGAAAATGAGAGGCAGAGGAGGTCTAAGAGCGAGAGGGAGGAAAAGGGTGAGCTTGAGTCAGTTAAAAATGGCAGAATAAAGGGAGATGGTTTGTTAAAGAAGAATGGTAGAATGTGTAAACAGTGAGTTGAAGACAGGAGGAGAAATGCAAGTGAATGAGGGCGACGTATCGGAGATGGTAGGTGTGGTGAAGCTCTCGGAGCCCTCGGTTTGCACCGAGGGTCAGGATAAAGATGAGTCTGTAACAGTAGGAGTGAAGTTTTTGGAAAAAGTGGACCCTTGCCTTTTGGCTGATCCATTTGTGGTTTCAGGGTGGGTGAAAACAGAGTTGGGTGCTGTGAAATCGGTGAGGGTAACCAGAAGTGGTCTTGTGATAATTGTTTGTGTTTCTGCTGGTCAGAGGGAGCAGGCGCTCTGTGTTAAACGAATGGGGGCAAGAGATGTGAATTGTTTTTGCTCTCAAGAAAAATGTGCCATTGAAAGGCGTGATTACTGGGGTAGCGGTAAATGTGAAAGCTGACCAACTGAAGGGGAAGATTCCCGGTGTTTGTGATGCTCGTTGTTTGGTGCGACGCAGACAGGCTGGCATGAGTGGAGACACAGAAGAGTCATTGTTTGTTCTTTTGAGTTTTGTTGTTGAGTCTCTGCCCGACAAAGTGATGTTAGGATATATAAGTTATCCGGTACAAGCTTTTGTGCCGAATACATTACGTTGTTTCAGGTGTCAAGCTTATGGGCATGTGGCAGCAGTGTGTAGGAGGGAGCTGTGAGAAGTGTGCAGAAGGGTATGAGACAAAGGAATGTGTAGCATTGGGAAAAGTAGTGGTATTTGTTAATTGTAGGGGTGCCCATGGGGCTGGGGATCCGAAATGTCCGGTGCGAGAGAGGCAGGTTGAGGTTTCCAGGGTTAGAATAGTGCAGAAGTTGTCATATGCTGAGGCAGTGAAGAAAGTAGAGGAAGATGGTCAAGGGGGAGGGATCCTGAGAGGAATGGTGTGAGTAGTAGAGATGTACTAGTACAGAGGGATAAACCAACAAGTGATATATATTTCAGTAAGATTTGATTTTTGGTTATCAACTGTACTGTAGGGATGGAACGTACGTCGCAGAAAATAGAGGTTGTGGTGGCAGCTGCAGAGAGGTATTTGGGTGTGCGAGACTTAACATCAGAAGAGTTACAGGGTGTGTTATGTGGTGGTGTCCCATCCCTTCATTGGCCTGAAGTAGGAATAAATATATTTAAATAGTGGAGTATGGTAGTTATTATTATTATTATTATTATTATTATTATTATTATTGTTTTTAAAGCAAAGTATAAGGGAGTTATACTCCAGTCTAGTAGGTGGCAGTAACGCAACATTTATTGGCTGTCAACCGCCGTTAAACCTTCCCAAAGAAGAAGAAGACGCACAATGCAGAAATCGTTCCGCCATTTCCTGGTTGCTAAAATTCTAATAGTTCGCCTAATTGAAGTTTGTGAAAAACAAGCAGTCATTGTGTAGAGAGTCATTGTACCATCTAAACCTCTTTGAAATATATATTTACATAACCAAAAATATAGTATTTTCAACTGTTTGAAGCTGGTATACAAAACCAAAAGTAAAAGATGCAAAAACGAAACTTAAGCACGGGATGCATAGAAATAGCGCCCATTTAACAAATCTACCGCTTCTTAGACTTGCTTTCAATGAGAATGAAAGATCTATAACTCACATTTCTATGTGAATTTGGTCGGGTCGAACAAAAAGTTACATTCTAGCTTTAAGTTAGGGACAGGCGGGAGGCCAGGGCCCTCCAGTACAGTAGATGGCATTAATGCACAATAATGTTGAATGCCAGCCGCTGATTAACCCACAGAAGAAGGGGCGGGGGCAACAACAGTATCTAGCTAGCCATACACCAGTGGACAGTGTGCTAGCTTAGCTATCTAGTCCTTAGGAAGACTGGTACACAGCAGGTTGGAGCAACAGTGTGCTAGCTAACTAGCAGGCTAGCTAGCACACGGAGCAACACAGTGTGCTAGCTAGCTAACTAACTAGCTAGCTAGCACAAGGTGTCACTAACTATCAAACTAGCTAGTACACTAACCTCCAGTCTGCCTAATGAATTTATTTAAATTGAGTGATTTCCTTATATGAACTGTAACTCAGTAAAATCTTTGAAATTGTTGCATGTTGCCTTTATATTTTTGTTAGGTGTAGCTTACTGTGCACACTGTGTTGCTAACTAGCAAGCTACACTGAACAAAAATATACATTTTTACATTTTAGTCATTTAGCAGACGCTCTTATCCAGAGCGACTTACAGGAGCAATTAGGTGCAACATTTTCAAATATTTTACTGGGTTACAGTTCATATAAGGAAATCAGTCAATTGAAATAACTTCACTAGGCCCTAATTTATGGATTTCACATGACTGGGAATACAGATATGCATTTGTTGGTCACAGATGCCTTAAAAAAAGGTAGTGGCTTGGATCAGAAAACCAGTTAGTATCTGGTGTGAGCACCATTTGCCTCATGCGGCGAGACACATCTCCTTCGCATAGAGTTGATCAGGCTTTTGGTGGCCTGTGGAATGTTGTCCCACTCCTCTTCAATGGCTGTGCGGAGTTGCTGGATATTGGTGGGAACTGAAACATGCTGTCGAACCAGAGCATCCCAAACCTGCTCAATGGATGACATGTCTGGTGTGTATGCAGGCCATGGAAGAACTGGGACATTTTCAGCTTCCAGGAATTGTGTACAGATCCTTGTGACATGGGGCCGTGCATTATCATGCTGAAACATGAGGCGATGGCGGCGGATGAATGGCACGACAATGGGCCTCAGGATTTCATCACGGTATCTCTGTGCATTCAAATTGCCATGGATAAAATGCAATTGTGTTTGCTGTATGTAGCTTATACCTGCCCATACCATAACCCCACCGCCAGCAAGGGGCACTCTGTTAACAACGTTGACATCAGCAAACCGCTCGCCCACACGAGGCCATACACGCTGTCTGCCATCTGCCCGGTACAGTTGAAACCGGGATTTATCCGTGAAGAGCACACTTCTCCAGCGTGCCAGTGGCCATCGAAAGTGAGCATTTGCCCACTGAAGTCGGTTATGACGCCGAGCTGCAGTCAGGTCAAACCATGGTGAGGAGGACAAGCGCGCAGATGAGCTTCCCTGACACAGTTTCTCAGGGAAGCTAGGTGAAGAAGCTGTATGTGGAGGTCCTGGGCCTGCGTGGCTACACTTGGTTTGCAGTTGTGAGACCAGTTGGACGTACTGCCAAGTTCTCTAAAACGACGTTGGAGGTGGCTTATGGTAGATAAATGAACATTACATTCTCTGGAAACCGCTCTGGTGGACATTCCTGCATGCCAATTGCACGCTCTCTCAAAACTTGATACATCTGTAGCATTGTGTTATGTGACAAAACTGCACATTTTAGAGTGGCCTTTTATTGTGCCCAGCACAAGATGCACCTGTGTAATGATCATGCTGTTTAATCAGCTTCTTGATATGCCACACCTGTCAGGTGGATGGATTATTTTGGCAGAGGAGAAATGCTCACTAACAGGGATGTAAAGAAATTTGTGCACAAGATATGAGAGAAATACACTTTTTGTGCGTATGGAAATGTATGTTGTTCAGTCTAGTTAGCACACAGTGTCGCCGGAATTTCATGCAGGAACCAATGGGATGCTCGAGGGGATGCAGGAATGCCCACATGCAGGACCGCCCCAAATTGCGGGTTGCAGTAGCACACTACTGGAAAAAATGACCCCCATTTGATTATCTGTGTAGGTGACTCTTGGGAATGCAAGACCGTGCTCCAGGATGGACACCAGAGAACTGTCAGAAAGGTGGCATGGTCCCCATGTGGGAACTACCTGGCCTCAGCCAGCTTTGATGCCACAACCTGCATCTGGAAAAAGAAGAATGATGATTTTGAGGTGAGGGGACTGTTCTTCTCAACCTCCGACAATGGTCTCTGTGAACAGCTTACTACTGTATATGCATTTATGACGATGATGGTAAGATATGGCCCTAATTGAGAGCATCACACTGTCTCTGTTTCTTTCAGTGCTTGACTGTGTTGGAAGGACATGAGAATGAGGTCAAATGTGTGGCCTGGGCCCCATCCGGTAACCTGCTGGCCACATGTAGCAGAGACAAGAGCGTCTGGATCTGGGAAGGTTAGTGCTGCATCAATATAGAAATACAAACTCATTTTATTCCTATCACATTACTTGTTTCACATAACATTCAACTGTTGTCTCTCAGTATGTAGTTTTGAATACTCTCTCACCATCTCTTTCTGTCTTTCTCAGTGGATGAGGAGGATGAGTATGAGTGTGTGAGTGTGGTAAACTCTCATACACAGGATGTTAAGCATGTTGTCTGGCACCCAACACAGGAGGTACTGCCTACATATGCTGTTTCATTCCTTATACTAATAGCAACATTATATAATCTCATGACACCCCATTGCTATTGCAAGGCTTCTCTGGACTAATCGTTTCAGTATTCTGTGCTCTGCATTCACTGTCTACCCCCACTAAAGCTAACTGATGTTCTCTACGCAGCTCCTCGCCTCATGTAGCTACGACAACAATGTGTGTGTCTATAAAGAAGAGGATGATGACTGGGAGTGCAGGGCGACCCTGGAAGGACACACCTCTACTGTCTGGGGTTTGACCTTTGACCCAAGTGGCCAGAGACTGGCCTCCTGCAGTGATGACTGTACTGTGAAGATCTGGAAAGAATGTCAGCCTGGAGGTAGTCAGGGTGAGAAAGATACACACAATGCTCCATAGATGCATAAATGTATAGATGGTGTGGGGAAAAGGAAGGTAAGGATAAATCCCCCCCTTTTTTTCTTTACAGAAGTCACAGACACGGCTTGGAAATGTGTTTGTACCCTTTCAGGGTTTCATGGACGGACAGTGTATGATATTGCATGGTGAGCATCCTCCTCTTTATATAAATATATATTTTAATCACTTTACATATTTAAAAATGCAGCCACAGATCCACCAAGTCAGTACTCTTTTGTTGTTCTAAGGTGTCCGCTGACCGGTGCCCTGGCGACTGCATGTGGTGATGACGGAGTGCGTGTGTTTAAGGAGGATGAGAAGGCTGACCCAGACCAGCCTGTTTTCTCCCTGTCTGCCCATGTACCTAAGGCCCACACCCAGGATGTCAACTGTATCGCCTGGCACCCCAAGGAGGCTGGGCTCCTTGTCTCCTGCAGTGACAACGGGGAAATAGCAGTCTGGAACTACCAGTCTGGAGTCTGAGAACATGTACAGTATGATGGCCAGTTAGGACTTCCAGATCCAGTGTTTAACAGTGTCGAATTTACCTTGTACTGTCGAGGGTGGCAACAGCACTGAAATTGTCATGCATGATGTTTATATTATTAATTCCTCTTGCAATAACCTGTTTTAATGAGGTTAGAGTGGTTATGATTTTATATGATACTGCTACAGGGCGGCAGATAGCTTAGTGGTTAAGAGCGTTATGCCAGTAACCGAAAGGTCGCTGGTTCTAATCCCCGAGCCGACTAGGTGAAAAATCTGCCGATGTGCCCTTGAGCAAGGCACTTAACCCTAATTGCTCCTGTAAGTCGCTCTGGATAACAGCGTCTGCTAAATGACTAAAATGTAAAATGTCTAACATTCCTGCCTGTGCACTTGTTTTGTGCTTCAAAAATGAATGTAGGCCCTAAATGTGTTACATTATAACTTGTGAGCTACATGTCATAATTATGTATTTGATTAACAATACAATTTACACATTCCAATGGTGTTTTTGTAATATCAAGAAAAGAAAATTGTCATGTGAAACGTTATAGATATTTAATCAAGGGATTCAGCACACTTATGTCTAGATGCTAGCTAAATGTTTCCAGAAACCTTAAGGGGAAGAAAGTGTCTTCGCTTTCACATTTTTTATAAATAAGGTCCTCATTATATTAATTTACAGTCAAAGTCTGGTCAATGTAGATTATTTTTATTGGAAAACAGTCATGACAGCACAAAGGTATGTTATGTTAAAATCAGTCTGATCCATTAATCACACTTGATTGCATACAGGGTTGAGAGTAACTGAATATTTTTTTATAATCAGTTATGTTGCCAGCAAAACTATTGTAATCAGATTAGATACTTTAAAAATCAGAAAGGATGTTTGCGTAAAAAAAAATACATTGAGACTGTTCTCAATCACATTCAACTTAGTGTTGAAAAAAGGCGCAAGCTTGTGCCACCTCAGCGAGTCTGACCAAGTCAGAGGCCACTATGACACACCAAATGTGTTTGATGGATCCTTTGTCTTTTGACTTAAGGGGAAAGTAATCAGATTGCATTATTGAGTTTGGTAATCCAATAGGTGCGTTACTGATGACAATATTTGGACAGGTAACTAGTATCTAACAGATTACATTTAGAAATTAACCTTCCCAACCCTGATTGCAGAGTTGTTGAAACAGTTACAGTAGAGAAATTGAGACTCTCTTGATACACTATGACTTGTTCACTAAAAAAGTAAGCAGACTCATGTACACTTCAAACCTTTTGGTTGACTTCTCTAATTAGGTACTATATACACACACACATTACTATCCTCGACTGGGGCACATTCACATTTAAACCAAATTGTAAAAACAATTGTAGACTTACAAAAAGGTCTGACCATTACCTCGAGCACAATAGAATATAACAGTCCAAAGAGAGATTCAGACTATAAACGTGACTCAATGCCTTATCTACACTGAACAAAAACATAAACGCAACATGTAAAGTGTTGGTCCCATGAGCTGAAATAAAATGATCCCAGAAATGTTCCATACACACAAAATGCTTATTTCTCTCAAATATTGTGCACAAATTTGTTTACATCCCTGTTGGTGAGAATTTCTCCTTTGCCAAGATAATCCATCTACCTGATAGGTGTGGCATATCAAGAAGCTGATTAAATGTGCAGTTGTCACACAACACAATGCCACAGATGTCTCAAGTTTTGAGGGAGCATGCAATTGGCATGCTGACTGCAGAAATGTCCACCAGAGCTGTTGGCAGAGAATTTAATGTTAATTTCTCTACCGTAAGCCGCCTCCAACTGGCCTCACAACCACAGACCATGTGTATGGCATCGTGTGGGCAAGCGGTTTGCTGATGTAAACATTGTGAACAGAGTGCCCCATGGTGGGGGTGGGGGTTATGGTATGGGCAGGCATAAGCTATGGACAACGAACATTGGCAATTTGAATGCACAAAAACACCACAACGAGATCCTGAGGCCCATTTTTGTTTGTTTGATATCTGTAGCCAACAGATGCATATCTGTATTCCCAGTAATGTGAAATCCTTAAATTAGGGCCTAATGAATTTATTTCAATTGACTGATTTCCTCATATGAACTGTAACTCTGTAAAATCGTTGAAATTGTTGCGTTTATATATATTTTCAGTATAAAACAAAACAAACAACCCCTGCTGATCCCAGCATGAATTGAGAAATGACTTGTCGTCATCTATTGATGCCTGACTAGTCTGAATCACTGTCTCCATCGCTGTCTGCCTCCTTCACATCCACGCTGAATTTATACTCCTGATCACAGCCCATGTAGGCATCACTCATGAAGTACAGTGTGTAGTTGTGAATGCCCAGCACTGGTGCAACAAAGTCCAGCTTCACCTGCAATGGGAGAAAGGGGCACAGAGAGTGAGGCCAAGCAATGCTGACAGAGGGTATTCACCTTTAAGATAACTTTTGGGCTTTCAGATGCTAGATCAATTACGTGCTAGCCTACATGTAGGCGACTGTCAAAATATGCAGATGCCTGCATGTATTGGCTCCATAAGGTCCAGTTGGGGTGCATAGTCACTTTAACTCTACCCACATGTACGTATTACTTCAACTACCTCAACTAGCCGGTGCCCCCGCACATTGACTCTGCACCGGTACCCCCCTGTATATAGCCTCCCTACTGTTATTTTATTTTACTTCTGCTCTTTTTTTCTCAACACTTTTTTGTTGTTTTATTTTACTTTTTTATTAAAAATAAATGCACTGTTGGTTATTTCACTGTAATGTCTGCACCTGTTGTATTCGGGGGGCATGTGGCCAATAAAATTTTATTTTATTTGATTTAAACTGACCTTTGCCTTCTGCTGCAGTGTCAGCCTCTTAATGGAGATCAGGCTGTTGGACTTGGGGTCTCCAATCACCACCCACCAGCCCTCCTCACGTTTCTGAAACAACAACACAGTCAAAGGTTAAACATGGTCATTGTTGAGTTTGTGCTTTTTGAATGAATCAGTAAAGGAGTTCTGACAAGCTGGTAGTGATGATCCATACCTGGGGGAAGAGTGGGGCAATAACAGGCCCAGTCACCTCCTCTTCTCTCTCCAACTGGACCAGGACCAGCACTGGACCTCCACTGTGAGCACAAAGATATGATCAGACACCTTCACTTACTCTGCTTCTCTCTCATTTTCAATGTTCCATAGATTCAATGGGCAGTAGTAGTAAGTAGCAAACACCTCATCATTAACAACCTCCTAAGCAAATATACATTTTCTTGTGTTACTAATCTCTCTATATTCTGTCAACCTATTTCCTCACAATTATTCCCCTCTACCTCTAACAGCCCCATTTAAATCACCTCTTGATGTTCTCCTTCTCTGCCACCTCGTAGGACAGTTCAATGTTGGGGTAGCGGTTACAGAAGCGAGCCACGTCTGCTATCTGGGTGTCTGAGAGCTGCAGCAGCCCACTACGATCCTCATCCTCCATCTCCATGATGTCAAATATACTCTCCACACCCTGAGAAATACAACTAGAGATCAGCTTCAAGATCCACACCAAAGCAAGATGGCCATAATCCCTTGTCTGGTAAATGGAAGTGTTTCAAATGAATAGAGTAACAGGCAGTCGTGGATGTGTTACCTTGTCCGTGCAGCGTTTGATGTGCTCAGAGGTAAAGTAGGGCAGCTGTTTGAGGTAGGAGTCCTTGGACCACATGGCCTGGGTGACCATCTGAGCCAGCTCCATAGCAGCCAGTGCAGGGCTCAGCCAGCCGTTACTGGACAGCACATCTACACAGGCCTGGATCAGACGCACAGCCTGGACAGGACACACAACCATACATAGATTTTAAACACTAGCACACCTCAATCTGACCCACTACTTTCTGAACTCTTCAACACTAGGTCATACTACAGTCTTTCTGCTATACAGAGTCCATTTACCACAGCTTAGATTGCACCAAAGTATCTATTAATTTCTCATTCACCTTGCTGAGGATCTCCTCTGTGTCTGACTGGAGCTCAGCGCTCAGCTGCATCCTGGACAAGTGAGCCTGCAGCAGCAGGTTGGTCTTCACATGGGGATCGTTGAACTTGGGGTTGTTCAGTTTGTGGGGCACCTTCTGGGCCAGCTGAAAACACAACATATACAAGTTGATTAATGACAATGTCATAGAATGTTTCCAGATAAGTATTTGTGAGCAATGAATTCACACGTTCCATTGCTTCCAGTTCTACATGGGTATTTGGGTGGGGTAATAAGTCTGCAAAAGTGCATCTTATGAATATTGATGTGCATTAGTATGTTTACCTGTCTGAGCAGGTTGTCCTCATGGTGTCTGATGGGGATGTTCTTGTACTCAGCAGCATTGGAGATGATCTCAATCAATCCACGGATCTTGGTCTTGGCGTTCAGGGACATACTGAACAACTCTGATACGAACATAAATAAAATGTCAGTAACTCAACAAGTTATACTGTATAATGTATGTATTCTATTTTAACATTTGTTTAGTCTATGGGGTGGTTCACAGTTTAGGTGATGTGACTGATACAGCCATATTTAGTGACAGTGGGATGTTGGTTGTGGTAGTTCTCACCGATGGTGGTGTAGTTGATATAGTAGTAGGCAGCGATCATGCCCAAGTTAAGAGGTGCCACATCCATCTCATCCTCGATGCTGATGCACTTGGACTGCTCCAGGTCATGCAGGGTGTTCTCTACCAGTTCTGACAGGTGGTCGGACAGATGACGGTGAGACATGCCTGGATGGGAGAGATGGAGAGCAGCACTTTAACATAAGACTCCAAGACAAAAACACTATAGGTCTGGATAAATATTACATGTCTAGAGTGTCAACAGTTGAGAGCATTGCCAGTGCTGTAGGTGTGCCTGTCTCACCTTGCAGGTTGTAGTAGTTGGGGTTCTGGGTCATGCGACGGTACAGGAAGGTCCAGGTCAGGTAGTCCACCGCGTCCTGTTTGTTCTCCACCGTCTTGGTGACGATCTCAGCGTTGAAGTGGTCGTGCATGCAGTGGTCCAGGTGAGATTCCACTGGCAGGGGCTCATACAGAAACTTCTTGAAGAAATCCTACATTTGAGAAAAAGAGAGTAGGTTATAAATGACAGAATAATGGAGTGACAGAGAAAAAGGGACAGTGAAAATGGAGAGAAAAGGAGGATATTGCTGACGTACCTTTTTGGAACCCTGACACATGATGACACAGCGTCCCTCATCGTCCTGCAGGGGCCGGTTGGCCTTGCCCACCATCTGGAGCACATCGTAGATAGGGTAGTCCACATAGCTGGGGACAGAGAGGACATGGTCACTAACACAGTCAAACTGAGGCGGGGGGGGGGTCTGAGTGATATAGATTAGATATAAAACAGTGTTACT